ATAGGAAGGATAGGACAGAATAGGAAGGAAGGATAGGATAGAAGAGGAAGGAAGTATAGGATAGAATAGGAAGAAAGGATAGGATAGGATAGGATAGGATAGGAAGGATAGGATACGATAGAATAGGAAGAAAGAATAAGATAGGACAGAATAGGAAGGATAGGATAGGATAAGATAAGAAGGAAGGATAGGATAGGAAGGATAGGAAAGAAGGATAGGATAGGATGGATGGATATGATAGATGGATGGATTTTTCAATATTGTCTGCACTACTCTTGACTTTCTATGAGGCTACTATCATATTGATTTTTTTTGAAAATTCAAAACGTCATAACTTTTGAACCGGAAGCCGGATCGAAATTTGGTTTACAGATTCGGATTCCTGAGAAAATTCTACCCTTAGTTCATATGTCATACGTTGAATTTGGAGAACTTTTTGTCGTGACCTACTTTCTGGACGCCATATTTAAAAATCGGTAAGAGTAATCAAAAATCTAATGTCATATCTTTGCTTCGGCTTTTTCTAAGCTACATGAAGAATAAAAGATTTAGGAGTTACGATAAACAACGACGAAGATAAATGACAGAATGTTGAAAATGTAAGATTTGACCTAGTTCTTGACCTTTGACCTAGATATAAATTTGACCCAATTTCCGAGGAACTAGATACTGGACATAAATTGACTGAATAATGATCTTTATTGGAAACCTTATGGTTATCGAGAAAACTGGGAAAGAATAATAAGAAAGAATAACTAGACTTTGGAAATTGAACAAGTTCAATTTCAGACTCCAGATTAAGACCTTTTTTAGCCGAGTCATCCAGAATAAGCTGAGTCATCCAAAAAAAGATGGATGAATAAAATAGGAAGGTAGGATAGGATAGAATAGGAAGGAACGATAGGATAGAATAAGAACGAAGGATAGGATAAAATAAGAAGAAAGGATATGATAGGATAGGAAGGAAAAGATACGAAGGAAGGATAGATAGGAAGGATAGGATAGGATCAGATAGGAAGGATGGATGAATTTTTCAATATTTTCTTCTCTACTCTTGACTTTCTATCAGGAAACCATCAGATCGATTTCAAAACGCCATAACTTCCAAACCGGCAGTCAGATCCAAATTTGATTTGCAGATTCGGATTCCTGACAAAATTCTACCCCTAATTCATAACTCATACGTTAAATTTGGAAATTTCTTATTTTGACCTACTTTTTGGACACGCCATAACTTCCGAACCGGAAGTCGGATCAAAATGTGAATTGCAGATTCGGATTCCTGACAAAATTCTACACCTAATTCATAACTCATACGTTAAATTTGGAAATTTCTTATTTTGACCTACTTTTTGGACACGCCATAACTTCCGAACCGGAAGTCGGATCAAAATGTGAATTGCAGATTCGGATTCCTGACAAAATTCTACACCTAATTCATAACTCATACGTTAAATTTGGAAATTTCTTATTTTGACCTACTTTTTGGACACGCCATAACTTCCGAACCGGAAGTCGGATCAAAATGTGAATTGCAGATTCGGATTCCTGACAAAATTCTACACCTAATTCATAACTCATACATTAAATTTGGAGATTTTTTTTATTTTGACCTACATTTCGGACACCATATCTCAAAAGTGGGTCAAAATACTTTCTGACGGCAAAAGGCTATCACTATTAGCACACTCTTGGCTACATGTATACACAATTTCGAAGAATATAATTGAAGTGTAGTGTCAGAATCGTAAAAATAAGGAAAAACTATGAATTTGAGCTAGATTTTGACCTAGGCATTTTGGTGTCCAAATTTTGAAACTAACTGGCTTTTGAGGTCCCCTTCTTTTGAAGGCTTTCATTAAATTAAGCTGAATTCAGTCTATATTTCGTATTTCTCACTTCAAAAAAATCTTTTTTTCCCATTGACTTAACATGGGCACCAAATTTAGAGATTTTTGAGCTTTTAAAACGCCATAACTTCCGAACCGGAAGTCGGATCGAAATTTGGTTTGCAGATTCGAATTCCTGAAAAAATTCTACTCCTAATTGATAACTCATACCTTGAATTTGGAGAACTTTTTCTTTTGACATACTTTCTGGATGCCATATTTCAAAATCGGTAAGAGTAATCAAAAAACGGATGGAACACTTATGAAAGGGCTGTTTCTAAGCTACACGATGAAAAAAAGATGAAGACGTTTCGATAAATAACAACGAAGATAATAGACAGAAGGTTGAAAATGTAAGATTTGACCCAGTTCTAGGATAGGATAGGATATAGAATAGAAAGGAAGGATAGGATAGGAAGGAAAGGATAGGAAGGAAGGATAGGTAGGAAGGATATGATCAGACCGGATAGGAAGGAAGGATGGATGATTTTTTCTATATTTTCTTCGCTACTCTTGACTTTCTATAAGGATATCATCAGATCGATTTTTCTCGAAATTTCAAAACGCCATAACTTTCGAACCGGAAGTCGGATCGAAATTTGGTTTGCAGATTCGGATTCCTGAGTAAATTCTACCCTTAATTCATAACTCAGATGTTAAATTTGAAGAACTCGTTATTTTGACCTACTTTCTGGACGCCATATTTCAAAATCGGTAAGCGTAATCAAAAATCTAATGTCATATCTTTGTTTTGGCTTTTTCTAAGCTACATGATGAAAAAAAGATTTAGGAGTTACGATAAACAACGACGAAGATAAATGACAGAATGTTGAAAATGTAAGATTTGACCTAGTTCTTGACCTTTGACCGAGATAAAAATTTGACCCAATTTCCGAGAAACTAGATCTAGGACCTAAATGGACCATATATAGGACTTGGACCAATATCTTCTAGTTAACGAGAAAACTGGGAAAGAAAAATAATAAAGAATAATAATAAAAATAAGAAGAATACTGGCAAAAACAATAGACTCCAGATTGACATCTGGAGTCTAATAATTTGCCAGCAAACACGAGTTGTTATATCAACTAGTTATATATATTTTTGCCTAACCTTGAGTGCCAAGGAAACAAGAATGATCCAGCTACATAAATAAGATTTATTACTGAGAATGAACATAACTTTAACCCCTTCATGCTAATACCTCTGTTACTATTTGACTTTTTGAAGTTAATCATTCAACACCTTTTCAATACATTCTCCATTAAGAAGTCAGCTTGGGCTAATTGCTAACTATAGGATTGGGTAATCATAAAAACTATATATATTTGGCAACTAAGATGCTACTGGGACTGGTATAATGGAATTGTGAGCAACAAGTTCAAGTTGAGAGGTGTTCGGCTAAGAGAGGTGTTGGACTGAGATAGGTGTTCGTATATACAGGTTTCGCTATATGTTGCATATTTTACCAGCCTAAGGTCAATGATGAGAGAAAATAGAAACTTTATCACTCCGGATTATTTTATGTTGATTGAGTACTTTTTTCTGTCTGTGATTTCATCATCCTCATTGTGGTGAGTGGGAAACTGAAACTGCCATAAGTTGTAGGGTAGCGGTTAAGAAAATGACTTCTGTTATGTCACGGTGACCCAGTACACAGTTGTCAGGCATTTTTATTTTATATTATATTATTGAATCTTATTAATCCCATGAAAATCATTTTACAGTTGTAAGTTTGGACCAGTGAACCATGGAAAAAATGGGATGACAAGTAAATTCTAGACAGTCATGTTTTTACAATTTGGCCACTTAAGTCATTTTAAAAAGGGTATTCAAACTAGTCTTTCGCAGTGTAATAATTGTTCTAGAACAGGATCTGGTTGGATTTGTTTGATATAAAAGCATCAACTTGGCATTGAATGAGGTCGTGTTCAAAAATATGGAACATAAAGACTGCAAGTTTCTATTTTAATCCATGAATGCTTATCATTGTTGTATAAAGCAGCAACAAGGGTAAGAGTGTAAAAACTGGTTATTTCGTTAAGCTAAATGTATTTAGCAAAGCAATGGAATATACTCGTACTTGTAAATATCATTCAACTTACTATCAAACCATCATTGCTATTGGTTAAAAGGCACACTCCCCTCTCGTTTTATCTCTTGTAAACTCATTAATACAAGTTCCTGTTTGTACCAAGCACTGAAAATCTCCAATTGCAATATTTGTCTGAAGAGGAGTGTTGAAACATGAACATATTACAATGTTCTAATACTCCAAATGTCATAGGGATTTTGTAAATAGTTGAAATATGGGATATCTTTTGATATTGAACAAATATTTCACTCTATTGAGGTGAATACCTGTACATCTTTCACAAGTGATATTCCACGAAGCCCGAAGGGCAAGTGGAATATCACCTTGTGAAAGTGCTACAGGTATTCACCGAAAATTGAGTGAAATATTTGTTTTATTATATCACTGTCTAGCTAAACATCCCTAATATTATTAAGTCATTAAGTCTTCAGATATTTTTACGAATCTACTCGGTTGCGTCTACCATTTTGACTTACACAGAACTAAATTATTTACACTAAACGAAAACAATTTCTTTGAAAATTCCCGGGAGTGTGGGATATCGCTAGATATCTCACGGTTGTCTTATCTGATTAGCATTGTCATTGAATATCGCCAGATATCCCACGACATGTGACCCGGTTTTGACCAATCATACTGTCGTTAGCTAGATAGTGATATAATAAAATTATATATCAAGATCTTATTTTTGAAATATGTTTGACCATGATGGCATTTAAAAGAGTGGAGATATTACATTGTTGTGCTCATCCATTACTAAGTTGCTGGAAATTGACTTATGGACCAAAGGATTTTTATGATAATTTTTCCATTATTGAGCTAATTTCCTCAAAGATGAACTAAACTTTTGGGAAATTTTGAGGTGGATGGAAAGATTGAGTGCTTGGGTTCTAATTTGATTTATGCATGATTGCCATCTATAAATATTTTCATTAATTATTCTCTTGTTACACATTCTACATGGTTCACATAAATGTCATATTCCAGCATTATATCTTTTTCATTTCTTATTTTAGGTATGCACTAAACTTTTTGACAGAAGAATTAAAGAATCCATACCGGACCTTGCCATGGGCAATTTGGATCTCAATACCACTGGTGACAGTCATATACGTACTGGCCAATGTTGCGTACTTCGCTATATTGACAAAAGATGAAATACTTGGCTCAGATGCAGTAGCTGTGGTGAGAGTCCATTAATTAAGGCCTTTCGTCATATCAGTTGTATTTAAAGGTTTTATTCCTCATCATTTATTCCTGTATCATCATTCCTGTTTATTATCATAAAGATGTCTGTCTTAAAATTTGGGTGTAGGTTTTGTTGAACTTTTCTAAAATGTTTTACCAGAAAAATTACGAGAAAACTGTTTTTACTAAAATAAAAAAAATTTATCAACATTAAGACCTGACTTTTATCCTCATTCACCAAATATTGCCTAAAAACAGACAATAGTCCTTCAAGTCTAATATTCTCTTGCAGAGCTTTGCCATGAAGATGTTTGGTATGATGGCTTGGGTTATGCCTGTCTTTGTGGCCTGTTCCACATTTGGCAGTTTGAATGGCTGTATCATGTCCGTATCTCGCCTCTTCTTTGTTGGGGCAAGGGAGGGCCAACTCCCAGAAGCCCTAGCTCTGGTTAGCCTTGCAACATACACCCCTATACCATCTTTGATATTTGAGGTAAGGTTATTTAAAATGTATACATACACATGTGAATTCTCATCGTTCAACTGGGATTTATCCTACATACACCAGAATTTAACTTGCATTTCAGTTTGTTGAATTCAATTTGGAAGAAAAGGACCATAAATTTTATTTTTGAACTTATTTCAGTGTGTGATGTCATTGCTGTACCTCCTAGTAGAAGATGTATTTACTTTGATCAATATGTGTAGCTTCATGGAAGCACTAGCTGCAGGTGTATCTGTAGCCTCACTACTCTTCTTACGCTATAGCCAGCCTAAGCTCAAAAGGCCCATTAAGGTAAGTTAGATCCAAACTTAAAATTCCTTTTAGAATTGATATAGTGTGAGTCAAGGGGGGGGGAAACTCCTCTAGAGGTTCGTCTTTACATAGAAATAGGTTCATCTATGAATTTTGGGTTGTTTCCTCCTCTTAAGTTCTTAAAGGGTAAGGTACATGTATATCATTTAGGAAATCGAACATTCATTTTTGGTGTTGCTCACCATTTAATATAAAAGGTGCGATCCCGGAATAATACTCAAGGGTTCACAGGTTGAAGTCAATGCGTAAACACCTCTCTGTTTATGAAGGAATAGTATAGTGTATAGATCGTCACACATTTATAAAAGGTAGTTTTTTATTTTGACAAATCAATTTCACATTAATGGGTGAAGTTTCAAGATCTTCTATTTGTGTTTAATAGGAAAAATGAAGCAAGGCAATTTAGATCATATTACAAGTTTTTATATTTAAAGGATTTATATTGGTTGACGCACGTGCATCCTTTGGATAATTCACTCTCCCGATGTTTACAGAATCACAGATTACAGAAACACTTATTGGTATTTATGATTTCAGGTTAACCTCGCTTCTCCAACTGTATTTATTGTAATCTCCGTATTCCTGGTGGTCATCCCAATTGTGTTGACTCCACGTGATACTCTATATGCTGTTATTGTCATGGCAACTGGTAAGTAATGTAATCTGGGTGAGCACAATAATTTAAGACTAAGGTACAGCAAAATGCAAAGGGCAATAATGCTAACAGCCTCACCCCTCCACAATCATGTAAAAACATTTTATAGTTTAATACGCAAATAAAAAAACACAAAAAAACCTATAAAAAACGTCAGTTATTGATTACTGAAAAATATCACAACCATCTATGTATATTTATATAATACAGGGTGGGCCAAAATATTTTGCAAGTTTTTTAGAAGGCAAAAAAAGTATCATAACATTATGGTATTGACATGAAACTTTTTTTACAGAAACTTAGGGATAGGCATATTTTACCATTCAAATACTTAAGCTAATACTGACTTCACATTTTTTTGTCAGCTGTTTGAATATTAATGGTAAATTGTTCCTGTGTCCGAGATTTACCGATTTTCCCAGAAAATGTGATTTTTAATTTCATGTGATCATCGATAGAACATTTATTATGTTTGCTAAATATACTGCAATCTTTGTAAGTGGTATATTGAGTGGCTATTCATCAGGACTAATGAATCAAGGGGGTATTTTGCTCCAGATATTTCATAGTGACTTTTGCCCTATGAACAGGAGCGCTATCCTGCTGGAATAAGACCTGGGGCTGAAAGAGCCCTCATTCTTGAAAGATGTCCCTTTTGAAGGATATTAGTCCTGAGTCGAATGGCCACCCAATACACCAGATGCCAACCTCTGGGACTATCACACATGGGAGCACCTGGAGCAAAGTATTGTAGTTAATGGTTATACCCCACAAATTATTTATCAACAATAAGAAGTTCTGCGGGATAAGTGAAGAGAACTACCACAACAACTGCTGGATCTCGCCATTGAGCAGTTCGGTTCTCGTCTCCATGTGATTGTGAAGATGAAAGGCAGATGCATAGAACATTTGTTAAATAAATAATTAATACCGTGTAACAACGTTAACATAGTGACTAGATACTGATATAAACCTGTACTAGACATTGGTTAAATTGTTATCAAAGATTGTAGCAGATTTAATAAACATAATGAATGTGTTATTGTTGATCACATAAAATCATAGGAAGTCACATTTTCTAGGAAAAATGGTAAATCTCGGACACATGAACAATTTACCATTAATATTCAAACATCTGACAAAAAAATGTGAAGTCAGTATTAGCTTAAGTATTTGAATGGTAAAATATGCCTATCCTTAAGTTTCTGTAAAAAAAATTTCATGTCAATACCATAATGTTATGATACTTTTTTTTGCCTTCTAAAAAAGTTGCAAATTTTTTTGGCCCACCCTGTACGTTCTCATTTTCTTCTCTTATCCTTGATTGCAGATATTTAAAATTGAAAAATTGCATCGCTGAATTCAAAGTGCTATGTTATATCATATTACATAATTCATTCATTTTTCAGGTGTACCAGTCTATTGGATATTTGTCCTATGGAAAGACAAACCCAAAGCTATTAGACGTCTTAATCGTAAGAATCTTTCTATTTGTTACGATGCTGGTTTTTTGTCACATCCAAGAGGGTATCATTTTGTTATAGCCACTGTTTTTTTGTGACTCGGGTATTTGGAAGATGTCTGAATTTTAAACAGATTGTTACACATTTTTTAACTGTAACTTCTTATTGCCACCAAAACCTGCTACCTGAAGGTAGGATAACATGTTTGAGACCCGGTGAAAAAATATTCTTCAACATTTCTTTCAGTTTAAAATATTACAAAAGAATAAATTAGAACTCTTCAATAGAATTTTCAGCATTACCCAAAAGTTCATAGATATATAAGTAATAATATCAAATGTGCGTTATTTCATTCCAGAAACGTGTACAACATATATACAACGTATGATTATGGGTGTTCACGGAGAGGAAGATAAAATTGATTAGTACCATGTCAGCTAGGAGACAGACATTGAACACTAAAAGATAATGCAAACAAGAAAACACACAAGATACTTATGATGCAAAGGTACAGCTGGCAGTAAAACTTAGGATTAAATGGACAATTACTAATTATCACTTTCATCAAAAATGACACATAAGACTGGACAACACTAGACGCATATATACATGGTCATCACAACGCTAATGGGCTTAATTCTTTGTTTCCAAACAGGCTGCAGTGGAAAGGACTAAAAACATTATATTGGATCATTTGTGTAAACATTTATATCATCCTTCATTGGTATAGTCTCATTAAAGGTGCATATGGGAGACAGAAGTTTGTAGTAATAACTTCTGATATGCTGAGAATTGACAATTAAAAGTTTTCCTGCTGATATGTGTAAAATTTTGTGACTTAGAATTCTGATTGGGTGGTTGGACTACCCTCATTTTGATGGCTCGACATAAGTTAGAAAATATTCCAGAGAGAGAAAGTAAATAGACAATCAACAAAATGCTCTCATATATAATATTTATGGCAGAGAGTGTTCATAGGTTCATGTACTCTCAGTTGTATTGGATAATATGGAAATATTGCTCTTATGAAATGAAAAATCCTATTTTACATCAGTAGATTTCCCTATTTATAATGCAGATTGAATTTTAACAGAAAATTCTCTATTGAGTCGAGTGTATTTTGGTATTATTATCCCATCGAACGAAGTTCGGAGGGAAATAGGGAACGCCTCCATCCGTACGTACGTACATCCGTCCGTACGTACGTCCGTGTCCGTCCGTCCGGGCAATAACTCAAATACCGTTGGACCAATTTTGTTCATATTTTGTACACAGATACCTTATGGGAGTAGAAGTTCTGCTCAAAAGCCGATTTTCAAAATGGCCGCTCATTTCAAAATGGCGGCCATTTTAGTGCCGATTTTACAGTAATTTAGGTGCAATATGTAAAACTGTTATAGCAATATGTTTTAAATGTAAAAAAAATTATAAAGGACATTAATAATGCTACAAATGTAAATATTAAAGAAGCACATGGCAGCCATCTTGAAAAATGGTGGCCTTTACTCGTCATTTTACGATTTTTGCTATAACTCAAAAAATAGTGGAGCGATTTTGTTCATATTTGGTATGTGAATACTATAAGCATTGTACACTGTCTATTTCTAATGACACTTTTGGTAGAAGGTGGCCATTTTGAAAAATGGCCGCCATTTTAACGTATTTTACTATAACTCAAAAAGTAGTGGAGCGATTTTGTTCATATTTGATATGTGAATACTTTAAGAATGGCACATTTTCTAATAAAACTTTGGGGAGTAGTCGGCCATTTTGAAAAATGGCCACCATTTTTATGTGTGTTATTTTAAAAGTACGTGTGCGATTTTTCAAAAATTTTAGAGTTGGCTACTGAAAAGCATATTATTTCTTCTGATGACAACTTGGCTAGTGAGCAACCATTTTGAAAATGGTGGCCTTTCTTATGTGTGTTGTTTTATGATATTTGCTATTCGTTTGTAAAAATGCCAGCCATTTCTGTTCGATGGGATTCGCTACCCTTTGGCGTTGCCGTTGTTCTGGTTCGATTCAATTTATTTCATGATTTTTCGAGTTGACATGCTATTCAGGCACATTGTATCATCATTTTGGAGCATCATTTTCAAACCACAACATTTAAATTGTTTGTGCTTAATTGTTGTTTTATGTTGATGTATTAACTGTTACATGTTTGTGTTGGTAATAACGTTTGTTTTATGTTGATAACTATTGTTATAGCACCCTCCGTGGAATATATTGCATTCAGTTTATTTTTAAGTTTGTGATTCAGTTGGTCCTTTCTTTAAGCATTCATATGTTCATGTTGTTGTTACTATGGAAATCATGACATCATCTGAGAACAATGGACTTGAATTAATGAAAGCAATTCTCGAAATCGTTGTTCCCTCTTCAAAAGAGGAGACGCGAAAATCTTTCCTTATAAGGTCAAAATATTTCCCATGATGCGGTTCGCAGAGGAACAAATTTATACTTACTTGTTTTCCCTCATAGGTTTAACATGGGGATTTTCACACCTATTTTTCAATCGATATATTCGTTCATATTCCCGTACGAGAGTACAGAAAAAAATATTGGAAACGATTGATCTCTTATTAATCTTTATATAACAGCTATTTTTTTCATCGTATTGATACATAGCGTGGTGAAAACGATGATTGAAAAGTGAGAAAATATTCCGGAAGAGAAGGTCACGTGATCAGTTGACTAGTCGCCATATTGGAAAAAACAATTCCATTCGACTTTCAATACTTTCATGCCAATCTTACCGCACTACAAACCGCAACATCTATGCAACAACTGAAAAGTATTCATCTTCAAATTACATTTTAGAGTTACGTTGAAAACCCACAAACAACTGAGCAGTAGACCAAAGAAGACGCGTCGCTATTATCTAGGTCAATCTGTTCAGTGGTTTGAAAGCAAATCTATAGTACTCGTTTCCGAATTGTGTTGTTCATTGTACAATCTTTCATTGATTAAACTCGGTATACTGACCATTAAAGCAATGACAAAAAAGAACGCTTCCGATGGAGACATTGTTTCATTTAGCTTGTGCGAGTAAAAACCAAATTGCGTAATTAGTTTGATTTAGAACTTTCGGGTCACGCAAATAGCTACGCGAAATGCATAGTGGGAAAATATTGACCTATCAAATTTTGTCCTTTTTGAGTGCTTTTTCAGTACATATTTGCGAACGTTCTGATTCAAAGGGCGAACCGCGAAAGGGAGAATTATATGGAAATGCACCCTAATGCTCAAATTACACCATTTGATAAGAAGAAGGAATACAGAAAATTAGCAGTTTATGCTGATATAGTATTTTCATTGTGGTATTTATTAAAATATGCTCATTTATCAAGATAGTCTCTGCACCGTCGTGGCATTATGACATATTTGTAATGACATCATGAGATATTATGACATATTTGTGATGACATCATGAGATATTTTTATCCTTTTTTCATAAGAACACTGGAGAGAAAGCAGGGGATATAACACCTAACTTGTTAGATGATTATGTCAAATTATATTTTTATATAAATCTAGTACCATGAAGGAAATTTTCATTGTTCTGTGTAGCGCCATCTATAGACCTATTTATAGAAATCTATGGAACTACATAGTCTCAATCAGCTTTAAATAAATGCTTCAGTATTATTGATATGTAAATAATTTTGAAATAATAGTATAGTTAGCTGTTAAAAATGTTGATGTTTAAAATCCATGGTAACATTATATTTGAATACTGTGTTGCATGGATGTTAATAGGGAAATTATGCTCAAGATATAAATACTATTATATAGCGCCATCTTTTGTAAGACACAAAGCTATAGTAATCACATTTTAAGGCCTTGTTCCTTACGAGGCATAAGGTGACATAAAGTGTCCTTTTAAGAAAGCTATTCAAAATCTCCATCTATTCAAATTTTATGAGCAAAGAAATCAGTGGTTAAATGGAAAATACTCCATAATACGAGGGTTGACCCTAATGTTTGTCACCTTTGTGTTAAAAATATTAAGCCCTGAAATCAAAAATTGAAATAGGTGTATTGTTTTCATAGCAGACATAACAGCTGACATGTGTAACCTCAATTTTGTTCAATCTATTTATTTCTGAATATATTGTGAAAGATTAATGATGTAAATTAATTATAACTTATGTATATATATGGCAACAGTAACCCATGTATGTTTGAGATAATACAATAAATGTAAATACAACGTATAGTTCAAACATCATTTTTTATTCATTACTCCATGTATGTAATCACTTGTTCTAGTCTCCAACTTTTTTGTGGACGGTGTTTGGCGGTCTGCACTCGGCCTCAGTTACAAATGACAAATGGTGACATTATGCATGTTAATGTCTTGTTTTTGTGCACGGGTCTATGGAAAGTTTGTCTCAAATACCGTCCAAAATGTCAATTATTGAATTAAATTGCAACTCTCAATGTAGTTTCATATTGCAAGATCAAAATGGGCAAATAATTACACAATTTTAAGCATCTTTCCTGTAAGCCTGCCAGTACGTATTTAAATGAACTACAGTTTGACTATCAAGCGATTCTGGACGGTTCTCTTTTTCAAGCAACAGTTTTATGTTATGAGGATAAAAAACGCTCATCTCTCGTTTTCTTTTCAGTTGTGTATAGAATGATTCGATCAAAATGGAACTATTGCGATCATTTTGTATGGAGCAACTTTAAGACCCCAATTGCTTCTTGATCATGAATTCCATTGCACTCTTGGTGTTGTACTTTCAAAATAATGGCATTTTGATATCAATGACATTAATTTGAACAATGTTTTTCTACCTGTTCTTAGATTTTCGTGGAAGTAGTATTAACGCAGCCTTGACATTTTGAACACCAGCTATACTGCGACTAACGTTAGTTGACGTTTTTCGGATTTCGAGGAAGCAAATCTTGATTTAAGTTTTAATAACATTGTTTAATTTTAAGCCTTTTTTTGTAGGTTTTTACTCGCCTCTGTTGAAATTACAATTGCAGAGTAAATTGTCTCTTGCATCTTGAGATTAGGTAAGTAACTATATTGAATGCACAATATTATAAAAATGGAGATTTTAATCTGGAACCGTAACCTAATACAAATATTTTCAAGATAGTGAATGGTTATGACAGAATCAAACTCAATGACATTGCACAAAAAATCAGATAATAAGATGACAAGAGGGAATACAGAAAAATTAAGCCATAGATACAGCAGACTTGATATAAAGAAAAATGCATTCGGACCCATGTTTTGTGAGCAATTAAACAACGCCCCCCCCCCCCATCCCTCCCCCTTTAATATGACATGAAAATAATAAAGAAAAGATCTGATCCTTCTTTCCAGAAAAATAGATATATAGATCTATTAACATGATAAACTATCTATTTCAATAGAAAATAAAGGCCCTTTGTATGTCTAAAAATATTAAGGGAAAGAAATGATTTGATTATACTTTGGCAGATACAACAGTATTTAAAAACCTCACTTTCTGTTTCTGATTGATACAGAATGTTGCAAGTAATAATATAGCTTTACTCGTTTAAATTACAATTTCATTTCAATTACAATTCAATTACCTTTAATGTTATTCAAAGGTTTGTTTTGTTAACAACGCGGACTCCTTTATCTTGAAGAACAAAAATGGTCGAAATAGTACAAAGATACAAATCGGAAATTAACAAATGTTTATCTTAGGGTAGTACTGTGGTGACATTCGCTTTATAAAAGATCATGACTAGAATTGTCGGGTGTTCTATGGAATACACACAAACCACTAATTGTAGCATCACGAAAAGCTTGTTTAAAGCTGCAAAATGCAAATGTTTGCAACAATTGTCTTTATCAACGAGGTGTAGGTATTATTATTGGTCAGTGCAACTTTAAAGTTCTAATTGAATTGAAACTATATAAAAGTGCACAACACAACAGCAGCCCATTTAAAGTTCAAAGCGAAGGCCAGTATTCACATCTCTATAGATAAGTTGGACATAAGGTTTGAAGATCTCGCCAAAAGCATTTGGACCTATCCTGGATAGGATAGGTTTATCATCAGGTATCTAAAACTGACGTTGAAGCGATTATTACCATGAGACAGACGACAGCATAAAAGTGGGTATTTCATCTTAAAGAAAGTTAGTGGTCATCCGCAGAATTATATTCTTTGACGGTATTTCGAAAAAAATTCAAACACGCTTATCGAATCACCTACATCGACATTATATTTCGTTAAAGACATTTATGTTTTGTTTTGCCTTATGCAAAAGCTCATTTTTCAGAAAGGCTTTCGGTAAATGAAGTGTCCAGAGATGAATACGCGCACGGGGATTCGAAGTGGACATAACATGTTATACTTGGTGATTGTCGTTGCCTGTGTTTGTGCCCCATGTATGGTGAAAGGTACCACATTATTTTGAATTCGTATGAGTAAATAATATTATGAGGTGGTTTACAATTTAAAATGAAAGCTAGATTAATCTGATCAGGGCAACATTAAATATATAACACAAGCCATGAATGAGCAAGCCATGGGATTTATTTTTAATTGTCTAACATGAAATTTTAGGCGCCTCTGATAATCGAGGAACTGAGTTCATACTGACATTCATGGAAAATGTTGGAACATCGAAGGACCTACAGCTTTTTGTTACAACAACAACGACGTCTGCTGTATCAGTAGAAGTGACAGCACCAGCGTTTCCAGGGGCCATCATAGCGCCATCTAACTTTGAGGTTACGTCAGGGGAAGTTGTGTCAGTTCTATTATTGAACTCATTGCGCATGACCGGAACTGGAGTTAGCACGAAAGGTGTTCGCATAACTGCCACAGAAGAAATCGTCGTTTACGGCGCGAATCAAGAAAGGCTGTCAAATGATGGATTTGTCGGTAAGTACCTGATAATTTCCAATAAAAAGCTTCATCACTAGATGACATTGGGAGTGATGATCTTAGAATTAGTTATCGTTAGTTCCTCAAATCCCCGGTCCCCGAACATCTGACCATTCTGCGTCCAAAAAGCCCTAATCAAACTCTGCTCATCATCAAATCTTGGCAAAAGTGTAGGTACACCTAAGGACATCATTAATTGCCTGAACAAGCCAAACTCAGCTCAAAGCAAACATGCTGCATTATTTGCCCACTGACCGTGTAACACTTTGTGTGTTCCAGCTCTGCCAACTGACGTCCTTGGGAAGGAGCACTTTGCGTTCAGCTGGTATCCTCCATCGGAAATGTGTGAGTTTGCATTAGTTGCCATCGAGGATAACACAAATGTCAACATCACTTTACCATCCCCTGGAACAGGAGATTTTGTTCTATTTGAGGGACGAACCTACAACGAGGGCGATACAATATCAGCGACGCTTGACATGTATGGGACCTTACAAATTCAGAGCGAAGGGGATCTGACTGGAGCGCATGTTGTAACGGACGAAGATGTTGCATTTTTCAGTGGGAACAAGAAAACGTCTGTTTTATCACCTGGATTGGCAGGACAATCTTCTTCTCGAGACCATCTTGTTGCGCAGTTGCCAGCCGTTGCTTATTGGGGTAAGCGATTTCTATCTATTCCAACCCCTCAAAGAACCGTTGGAGATTATTATATGGCCATAGCAAGCCAAGCAGATACGAACGTTCAGATTTCACACTACGGAAGCTTTTATCTTGCAAGGCCAGGGGACTCGCTGAAACTTCTAATCGGTTCTTCAAACTACACCGAGTTCTCTTCGGACAAACCTATTCAGGTTGTACATGTCGTACAAACACTTACAACAATACCAGATGAAAAGTCGGATCCCAGTATGATGCTAATCCCACCGATCGAGCAATACGAAAGCGATTATATCTTCACAACGCCAGAGATGTCGACGGGCGCGTATGTCAATTTCGCCATGATTGTGGTAAAGGATAGTGAGAAGGAGGGGATCAGACTAGATGGTAACACATACACCCCTGGGGGATGTGGGGAGGATTACTGTAAGTGGAATGAAGTCCCCGGGACAGAGTATGTAGCAACGGCGTTTAACGTCACAGAAGGAACCCATAGACTTAAGCACGAATCCCCTATTGCTGTATTCGGCGCTTACATATACGGGACCGCCACGTTCGAGACTTATGGGTTTCCTCTTGGAATGAGAATGGCACAGATCAATACGGTAAAGATTATTACATGTCATGAACTAAAATGAAAGTCATAAATGAATAAATGTTGCGAAACGTAGTTGCTTGGGCCCATTATCAAAAGAACTGTATGAAAATAACAACAAAATCAAGTATGCAGTGGTTAGGGTATTTTATATCATTACAATTTTTTATTTTTTTTATGTGCAACGAGTCCAACGAGTTTCAAAGTGAATCGTATTTTGCAATTATGTAGGTTTGTATAGAAAGTAATACAACTTTTGGCGATGGGTTGGACAATGACTGCGATTCCCTCATTGACGAAGAACTTTGTGACAACACACTAGATGACGATGGCGATGGTAGGATAAATGAGGACTGTGCCGCCATGGAACTAGGTATATCAACTTACACTTGCGGTGTCCATTTGAAAAATAACATTTTCAATATGTGAAGTAAATGACAACAAAAGTATACACCTTATCTTACTTTTCTTGCTGTGAAAATGTAGATGGCCTTTGATAATTGTCAATAAAAACGTATTTTTCAGTAAATGAATGCCTCGAAGATTCACCATGTGAAAATTCGGGAACCTGTTTGGATTTGATGGTTGGCTTCAATTGTTTATGTACAGATGGATACACCGGCACTAATTGTGAAACAGACATAAACGAATGCTCCAGTTCACCGTGTTTACATGGATCCACATGTACAGATCAAGTCAATGGGTACATCTGTACATGTGTTGATGGATACACCGGGACACATTGTGAAACAGACATAAACGAATGCTCCAATTCACCGTGTTTACATGGATCCACGTGTACAGATCAAGTCAATGGGTACATCTGTACATGTGTTGATGGATACACCGGGACACATTGTGAAACAGACGTAAACGAATGCTCTAGTTCACCATGCTTAAATGGATCCACGTGTACAGATCAACCCAATGGGTATATCTGTACATGTGTTGATGGATACACCGGGACACATTGTGAAACAGACATAAACGAATGCTCCAGTTCACCGTGTTTACATGGGTCCACGTGTACAGATCAAGTCAATGGGTACATCTGTACATGTGTTGATGGACATACCGGGACACATTGTGAAACAGACGTAAACGAATGCTCCAGTTCACCGTGTTTACATGGTTCCACGTGTACAGATCAAGTCAATGGGTTCATCTGTACATGTGTTGATGGATACACCGGGACACATTGTGAAACAGACATAAACGAATGCTCCACTTCACCGTGTTTACATGGATCCACGTGTACAGATCAAGTCAATGGGTACATATGTACATGTGTTGATGGATACACCGGGACACATTGTGAAACAGACATAAACGAATGCTCCAGTTCACCGTGTTTACATGGATCCACATGTACAGATCAAGTCAATGGGTACCTATGTACATGTGTTGATGGATACACCGGGACACATTGTGAAACAGACATAAATGAATGCTCCAGTTCACCGTGTTTACATGGATCCACGTGTACAGATAAAATCAATGGGTACATCTGTACATGTGTTGACGGATACACCGGGACACATTGTGAAACAGGTATTATTAATTCAAATAATTGTATGTAAATATATTTACTGTTTTGACTCTTCTTTGATTTGCTTATTTATGTTTGTTATAATCTTTTCAGATATAGATGAGTGTCTCGATGACCCATGTCTAAATGGTGGGATATGTGAAGATAAAGTAAATGGATTTACTTGCTTTTGTGAAGGATCTTTGTTCGGCGGAACACTTTGTCAAGACGGTAATGCCTGGGTCACATTTGTTCCGATTCATCGGCCGGCGCCCACCCGATTTAGTATTTATTCAAAGTGAAGGTCAAATCTCAAATTTGAGGTCAGATGTGAACTCATGAGAACTTGTGCATGTTTTTTTTAAATGTTTGGTCAATTTGAAGCAAGTTGAAATCAGTTTTGAACAAGAAACTGCAATCGGTCGGGCGCCGGCTGATATATTAGAGCAAATGTGACCTAGGCATAAGCAAATGTTTTGCATATCTACTAGAATCTAGAAAATGATTTGTCAATTGTGAAAAGTTGTTAATATTTTCTGATTCTGAATTACATGATTTATATTTTAATCTCAACCAATGTGCTCACTCTTTACAGTTCTTGCATCGTCTTCGAGTGGATTTCTAAGTAGTACAGATGGCATCATCATCGGTATATCCACCGGGTCTATCCTCCTCTTGCTGGCTCTTATTGGGTGTTGTTGCTGCTGTTGGTTCCTATGGTTACGTCGAAAGAAACGCAAGGACAAAATACTTGGAACAAGCGTGTTTGAAGTGGATCAGGTTAATTTTGGGTCATATGGACCAGGCATTATCACTCTTAAAGCTGAGTAAGTACAGTATGATTTCGATTTTGGACATATTAAGCTTCATTAAATCGAAAATTAAAAAGAACCATTTAATAAATGAATCGTCAACTGATGTTTCATACATACATGTTACATCATAAGACTAATAAACATGATAAAGGGGCGTAGCTGGGGAACCAAAAGTAGGAAAGGCAAATTTATATAGCAATACAAATATTAAAATATGCCATTCGAGTTTGCATGTGAAGAGGGGAATAATGTTACTTTTGATATCATTTTCGGTTTCAGTTAAAAAGATTATTTTCTTTAATTAAATAAATATTTGTTGAGGCAATTACCTCGTCTGACTGGCTGGCTATATATTATGTCGATATATTTTTCTAGTGGTTACGGAAGTCCGGCGTTTGTCAAATATGACAAAGAGAAGAGCGTTTACTATGTTTGGATTGAAGAGGATAAGAATTTTGTAGTTTGGTATCCTAAACTTCCTGGTTTCGCATTTTGGCACCCTGAACAACATGTTTATGTACGTTGGGATGCTAGCAGCCAAGGTTTTGTGATTTGGGATCATGAACTTTACCTCCTTGATGGTCAGCACTCGGCGCTTCCAAGTCGGGAAATGTACAACTGGGAAACGGATTTCCACGAATGGGATCCTACGCAGCAGATTTATACAAACGTACCAATGGGGACCAACATTATGCCAGGAGATCGAGAGTTGAGATTGAAATCGGGTTTTAAAACAGCTGATTCAAACTTTGTGTCTAACATCACAATTGAGAAGGATCACGAGAAAAATTCACCAAAGTCTGTTTCAAATATCGGTATGGTCGTCGCTGAAAACAAACGGCAGAATGGAAACAAGATGGACGTGGTTTGGCGCACCAATCCTTCTTCTATTGATGGTTACGTGGGACATAATGGAAACGCTTGCTGCATGAATTATAATGTTGAGTCCTCTAGACTAAATGGAAGAATCTGGAACAACCGGTTCGGATTTACAACGTATCCGAGTGATGGATGGATAGAACGGAATTCAAGGTATTAGGGTCATTCATGCTTGGAGGTTCATGTCTTTTAGGTTAATGGCGAGTGTTTGACTGTTATTTTCCATATAAGACGCTATAGAAGCATTGTTGCATGATCAAATGATCATACTTATGGCGTGCAAGGACCTGGGGACAATTCGGGAAATGCGGGCTGATCTCAGCTTTGAGCGTTAATCTCTGCCTCATTAAAAAAACTAACTATGTGTTTTATATACCTTTTTGAAGTATTTTTTATTTGCATTTCAGTGAAATTATTTTTCCTTCAAAATTTTGATGGGATCCTACATATTTTTAAAGTTAAATATACCCCGACATCGTCAAATACGCTGTAAGACGTAACACTTTGCGCTTACGGGGCTCGTTGAAATTGGGATAACTTTTGAAATAATGATCAAAATCGCACTAAAATTTCACATTTTATTCAATCGAACATGTGCATTTATGACGTCACAATTGCTTGACGGCTACAGTTCAAATTATCTTAAAACGAACGCTTTTAAAAATTTAAAAATTGTGAGGTTTTGAAGGCGAATGGGACGAGCAATAAGTTTACCTTCATTTAACCTTCTAATTTAGGTCTGATTTGAAAGAAAAATTAACTGCATAATATTGTCATGGCGAAATTTACAAAACAATAACCAGTTTGTCTATTTTGCAAATAATATTAAAATAAGAGCTGGTTTTCGAGACTTGAAAAAATGTGACGCATCGATTTTGTACCACAAATTCCATACATATCAATATTTACTAACGCCCCAAATGAATTTCTTGACCGTTTTTCAAAATTCAAAAACATTTTAGAAATATTGTCCTCGAGATCTTGCTACCCTGTGAATTTTGTAAAGATTAGATAAGGATAAAGTATTTTATTTTTAGGTTGAGTAAACTTGTAAAAAATGTGACGCTTGTCGTTTTTGACGTTGTAAGGCTGTTTGCGCCCTATACTGCTCATTGTTTTGTTTTGGTTTTTTGACGCCATAATGTTACGCTAATTGTCCCCAGTTTCGTGCGACGTGTAACTGTATTTTTTATCTAAAAGGTTTTCTTTGCAAAAATGAATACTTTATACATAGTTTTACATGTTCTTTCAGAGTACAGTCTCAAGTTGCTGAACGTAATAGGAGCGATTTCCACTCGGGATTCTTACCAAGGTAGTCTTCATTGTCACTGACCATAACATTTGTCATACGTACTTTGTTTACCGTAACATTTTTATGGAATTTCTACAGAGCACTATAACATTTGAATATTTCTACTGAAATTGCAATGTTCGCTGAATAATTTGTTTTAACCTTATTATTTTACTAGAGTCCAGCTGCTTGAAAACAGTGGAAATTCCCAAGTACCAACCAGGGCTGAAGAACGAGAATCTCCGAAAAAATAACATAAATACATGTAGTTGGATGGTCTAGACAGTATTCTGAAAAGGGAATTCAAAGATCATCGTATGCATGCCATTCGGTTGAATAACCCGGAGTTTGACAAATGAAATAATTTCAGTGTGCGGATATTTTTAGATCCTACAAAAGCGGTTGATACAGTTGATTATTGCAATAGTTTTAGTTAACTGAGTTTTAGAGTTTCCTAGGTTAATCCATGGAATGAGTCATAATCTTCATTAAAGTAATCAAACTGCTATGTTTCGTGCAAGAATGTTTCAGTTTAAAAATTAGATTTGATGTTCGTCAAGGCTCAATATAAGGTCACCCATTTTTATACCTATCTATGATAAATTGTATAATGTATTAAGATATGTGATATTTACTAACGCCATTTTATGGATTGACGGACATATTCATTAATATATTCACATCCTCAACTGTAGTCTGTCAATATCGTCAAATGGGGTATCCAGATTCATGGGGGTAAGGTTTTGTCCTCTTATCCTTTACTGTACAGTTTTTTGGTGTTAAATCCTACTTTTTTTTATCCTATTCTCTATCTAGTATTGTATAAATATACGTAGAAAATATTTAATTGATCATTAATATTCTTAACAAAAATGAGAGCATTTGGAAAGAAACGTTTTGATCGGGCCTCGTATACGATTTCCAAGGTGGTTGTTATGCAAGATAAAGCTGGAGCAACTGAAACCTTTTGAAAAATCAAGATGCTTGAGTGTACTTAAAAAAAATTCTTCCGTTTTTAAGATGAAATCCTTTTGATTTGCTGCGAGGCAAATTTGAAAATTGTTTAATTTCTAAATACTTTTTTCCTCTCAACATTCCATGTCATGACTATTTTTAAGAAATGTCCAAATTCTGACTTTTCAGGATAGCTCCTCAATTTTTCATTTTGGCAAAAAATGGAAATTTGACGATTCTAATGAATTTGGATATTTCTGGCTTATCTCCGATGACTTCTATTTTTTACAAGATATCTTAAACCTTTATAAAAAATGAATGGGATTGCAAGGGAAACACTGGCATACTTTTTGAAAAGAGTGATTCAAACATTTTACAATTTCTATCCATTCAACAACCGCTCTTGGTGAATTTTAAGCATTTGATACTTTTTTGTATTTAAAAATCTTGTAGACATAGTTTCAATAACATTGATTGTAAGACTATTATTGAATAAAATATTTTATAAGTTTTAAGATGTTTTTTAACTATGCTGTGGAATGGAATGCTTCAATAGCAAATAGCTTTACATTCATTTGGCAAAGGTTGATTCACAATTGTGAGTGGCATATCCGCGCTAAGGAGGATTGAAGTTTTGTTGTATTATTTGAGCTAATCCAATTATCCCATATCAATAGATAGTCGCTATGAGGTTTTGATTCCATTGTCCCATTTTGATCCTATATAAATAAATAAATTCCTTTGACAGTACGAGAAATATTAGAATAAGTCTGTCATGTTTTATTAGATTTCAACATATTCATATTGAACATGTTGAACAAAAAATGATTCGATTAGTCTATCAGAGGTATGCGTGCTTAGGTCAAACCAGGGTTTGGATGTAACTTTGTGCAATATCCTAACTACCATTTGAAACTTGTTTGTTTGGATGAGTATATCAGATACTCATTTGGACATTTAGAAAACATCAGTCCTCAAGAGTGTATCGTGGCTAAAAAAGGTTCTTTGAACCTTTGAAGGTTTTGGACTACACTTTATTGTATAACTTTCGAAATATGACAAGAAATCGTGCTGTTCAAAGGGTAAGTAGGCTTATACCTTGACTTTTTAACGATTTTTAGTGAAGTTTAGTTTATTGTTCTATTCTTAATATAATTTTATACACATGTTATATGTGACAAATAACGTATATTGCAAAATAATTTTCAAATACCGAATACAAAAACACAGAAAAATCAAATCCAATACAGAGACTTGTCAGCGTTGTGATTTTTGAAATTGTGATTGAAATATGAAACAACAACATCTAAAATGATTAACCATTTCAAAATTAAAATTGAATTAGTAGGTAAACATTCTTTCAATCTGGTGTGGGTACTTGTACATTATAAGTAATTTCAACTTGGAAATTCTTACAATTTAATATTAGTTCAGTTCATAATCATGTCGAAAAATAAATGATTTGTCCTAAAGAAAGAAAAGTACATGCAAGCAGAATTTTTCAATTTGAAACTTGTCATTCTATCTGCTTTTTTCACACGTTCATAATTCCAGGTTTTCTTTTCAATTTTTACGCTTTTAAAGAAAGTATTAGAGATCAGGAGAAACTTCAGTCAAAGTTATTTTATTAAAATCCCAAATTTTCATACCCAACTTAGGGACTACAAAGATTTCAAAATTTAAAAATGTGGATATCGTATTTCTCATATCTAATTATCGATTCCTATATAAATAAATCTCCCACTTGACAAGATACAATGTATCATGAAATCTTTAGATATATTCTATTTCAAATGATATTCTGAACTGTTGTTTCGTTTAGTATAAATTGTAAAACCTGCTTGCAATTTCGTCATATTCTCAGAATTATCTTTAAAGAGCATAATTTATTTGCATAATGCACTCTTGTCAAATCACTTTTGTTTCAAATTTATATATCGTGTCTTATCTTTGCAGGACAGTGTTTTTAAAGAAAGCGAGCGACATCTATCGAACTACAGGCCTCCCCATTGTAGATCCATCCCAAGGAACGAGGTCCAACAAAAGACAGTGGAACGCTGGAAGAACCACGAAGATAATATTGACATTGGGAAAAAAGCAGACGATATGTTTGCCCATCATCCCAGCATGGAAGTCTTGAAGAAGCAACGAGAAGGTAGATATTGATCAGTCCTAAAGTATTTACATCAAGACCCATGGCAGTGTAATATTTATACTGTTGAACCAAAATATCAGTTGATTAGTTTGTTATTTAATGATTTTTGTGTGCAATGTACAGTATATATTCGTATCGATAGTTTATCTTATCCATCTGATTCGACATCATACCTTAGAATGTCAATCGCGTTTATTATCAATGGGTTGTATTGTAATTATGATTCTTGCGTATTTCTTAATGTAGAAATATTTTTGGTATTAGTTTCCCGAATTCACAGCAGTGTATTCTCATAGGCCCCATAGAGTTTGGTCGTTTAAGGTTGTCTTCTTTCATACATCTGAGCTTAGTAATGTCGATCACGATGATCAAATCAAAATGGTGCAATCCTTTACCAGTTGCTGAATTGCGCAGGGTTGGTACAGCGTGCAATTACAGTATATTTCATCTCGATTACTTTCAGCAACTGCGGCCGTGAGAGACGTATGGCATCAACAGCAGCTGCAGCGCAAAGCCGCCTTGAGACAGGGGACAATTCCCTCATTTTCATCAAGACCCAACACAACAGCGGAAAGATCGAAATCGTGCAATTATAGCCAACCCAGACAACAGAGATTGTTAAATAGACAACGACATACAAAGTCGGCAGTTGACGTAATCAAACGCCTGCCAGTTCAACCTATTAAATTTGACGCGCTTTCAAGAGTGAATCCCCCATTGCCAAAAGCGTTTGGAGACCCCATTCCTACTTCGAAGGACTACAAAAGAAGGCCTGAAATCTTAGAGGGTTGGAAAAATGAAATAAGAAAGTAAGTACAGATAAGAGGAAACTACTAATACCATCTACACAATAATTCTGAATTCAATACTTTTTGCAATACTGGTAAAGGCTAACCTTTTCGTAAAGTATATGATGGAAGGGGGGTTTGAATTGCTTCAATTTCATTATTGGAATACATGAATACTTAGTTGCTGCATTTTGGGATCTCTTTGGGAGTACAAAACCCTTTCAAACATTAGATAGAGGGGGACTCTGATACATCAGAATACCGTCATCGTGGTACCCCCATTTTGTCGTCTTTGGAACTCCCCCCCCCCCCTCCCTATAGCCCACATCCACATCAAGGTCACTTTACTTAACTTCGTATGTACTCGTTTCAGGGTAGTGCCAGAACGACTTCCGTTTGCAGTTGAATCTAAAGTAGAGACCCCTAACAGAGACTGGGCAGAAGATGATGCGTACCCACTCTCCTCGGAAACATATTTCTACAAAGTTCAAGGGAATGCTCCCGCAAGACATTTCATCATTGATCCAAAATGGTTCTCTGAGCAACATTCCTTTAAAAACTTTTCAAAACAATACCAGACATGTACTTTACGATTCGGCTGGGGGTAACAGCTCTGGAATGGTGTGATTAGAAAGATAAATGTACATGTTCAGGTACACTCTAAACATGGACTCTAAATCCGAGCTGTGCTTTTCAATATCAAATAACAAATACTGAATAACAGGACAAAAATGTATCTAAATAGTAGCTGAGACAACACAAGGCCCAAGTCTGTATATTTACTCTCATTTCTACACTTTTAAGAGATAAGTCACCACATTTTGCATGCACATTCCTTAGAGAAATCTTAACATAGAATTTCATTGGTTTTGATTATAATTTATTTGTTAAAAATAGGGAAACATTTTATTTTGATTGGTCTATAACCAAAATTTGCCATGTTGTAACAAATGCAACATTTTGACGAAATTAATAAAAGTCTCTACTTTTGGTGTAATAACTCCAAAATGACCAAATCTTTTCTTATTCAGTACAAATGTAACTGTTTGAGGTAGGTGAGACATTTCCGAGAAAAAAATGGTATGCAGAAACATGATATTTGAAATAAAACGGGGCCAAAAACGACCCATGATGATGCCTGCATTATTTGAGATTTTGGCATGTTTCAATGACCCCAAAAATGGATGGGGTAGGGGTGTGGCATATCTTTTGAGCTTATTTCAGTTACCATTTTAATCAAATGAATGATGACATATTTGGTATCATCTTAAAGCTTGTAATGTACGCTTTAATTTGGTACCCATATTATGACATCACAGTGGTACCAAAACGACCTTAAATGGAAAAAGAAGCACCAAAATGCAGCAAAATAATGGTGCGACTCCAACATTCTTTTGACAATTCACTACCTGCCACAATCAATGAATGCATTTCTCATTGAGGTACACTTCCAATGCACGATCAGATGACTGGTAAAAATAACTAGTGATAGTTATTGTCAATAAGATTAGAGACAGCATATTGTATCTGTCATTTATAACTTGGAGTTTTATTAATAACATCAAAATGTTGCATTTGTTGCACAAAATGGAAAATTTTGATTATAGACCAATCCAAATCAAATGTTTCCCTATATTTAACAAATAAATTATAATCAAAACCAATGAAATTCTATGTTAGGATTTCTCCAAGGAATGTGCATGCAAAATGTGGTGACTTAACTCTTAAAAGTGAAGAAATGAGAGTAAATATACAAACTTGGGACTTGTGTTGTCTCGGCTACTAGTTATTTATATGTAATAAATTGATTAAACAAGTATGCCCACATTTTATTGATCGTTCATTGCAGTCTAAATCAACATTTATCAGCCAAGGACGGGGAATTTGGGAGTTTATACGATAGATTTGCATACGATGGATTTGCATACGATACCTATATTGCCTCACTTTCAAATTCGACATAATCGCAGACTATCCAGACTTGGATGGAGTAAATATCTAAATGAAGTATAATTTTTCTACCAAAGGGACCACAATAACAGTTTGTTTATCCCACACTAGTCAAAAGTTATAGTGATAACACGACGCCCTGTCTCATCTAAAATGAATGGTATCGATATGGAGAACTGAATTCAACAATGTTTTTCTCTTGAACCAATAATTTAATGCGAAAATTATTTAGAAATATTTTATATTACTATTTTTGTTAATATTTTTTGTTTTTTGGTGCAATTGTTTTTCTCCTTTCTACCAATTCTTGAAAATGAAATAAAATGACTTTCCGAACCTTATTTTAACAAAATAGCACATGTTTTTAGACCTCTCAATATTATAGTTATACAATATTATATAGTTGAAATTTTTGGTTGATTTTAAAAAAGTATTCAAAAAATTAAAACAAAATCCCCCAAAATAGATAAAAATCAAGATAAACCTTTTATTTCATCAACAAGATACTTTTTTTAAATCAACCAAAATGTCCTTGTACAATTACAATATTGAGAGACCTAAACATGTTGTGTTTATGTCGTTTTGTTCCAATGAGGTTCGGAAAGATGTTTCATTTCACTCTGGAAACATGATACCAAGAACAAAACAAGTGTTTGATGTGTTTTCTAAAACAACATAGATGAAAGTATATATATATTTTTCAAATTATATTGTTACCATTCAAAAGATGACCATTAAATTGACGATGTGTTAAATTTTTAGATTTTTATGACTGGTTTAAGAGAAACGTGTGTTCAAAAAGTTCTCCATATCGATACCACTCCTTTATCTTGCACTCATATGATGTAAGTACTGTACAGATCCTCCCCGATGGTATAAATATAGGTCCCCCAATGTGACATAAGACCTAACCTACCCTTTCTAATATAAGTTTATTCATGATTAATTTATATGGTGCTATAGAAATATCCACTATGAAGATGTGTCCTTTGAAAAATGCAAACATTCTCGAATTTTGGGCAGAACATCCTTCCATGACATTCTTCTAGTGTTTAAAGTCTTTTCTTGCATTCTTTTGTTTTCCGCTATTTGATGTAACATTTCGTATCCATCACCAGCAGCAGACTGATCAATTGAATTTCTGCGCTCTGTAACCGATTTTAAAAGGGAGTCCATTTCTATATTCCCATTTGAATCTCCATGTATTTCATTGTCATCGGTTTGCCTTTTGTGAAGGTTTTCATAGGCGTTTCCGTTTGACTTGTTGTTTTTCTTAGCCAATTGGCCATTTGGTATTAATGTTGGAAGTGACTTTCTTTTAGAATTCGAAGTGTACTTTTTGTGATTTCCAACGTCCAAATAGGAATCCAGCGATACGACTCTTTTCCTTTGCGGGGAAAGTCTAGCAGGATGCGGATGCTGAATCTTTGGTGAATCAATAGCGCCCAATTCATTGAGTGGAGGTAACCGCAAACCCCCGGGAAGTTTGGATTGTTTTTGTTTGGTTAAATAATTATCAGGTGCAGTCTTGGGTATATGAAAAGCATTGCTTTTCTTCTTTTTGAGAATAGAAGAAGGGTGAGTTATTGGGCGAAGGTTTGCATTCTTTTCCATTTTTTTATCCTTTGGCTCAGTTGATTTGTCTTTCTTCTCTACCTTTAAATATGATATTCCATCTGCGTCCCTTTTCTCTGTCTTATCGGACAGTTTAAATCGTACAAGTGTTGTTGTATTTTCTTCCTTCTTTTGTTTGTTAGAAGAGACAAGTTTCGGAATTTGTTTTTGGACTAATTTCCATTTGGATTTATAAAGACGCCTTAGCCCGGCTTGTTTCAATTGCATCTTCCTTTGGTTTGCAAAATGTTCAATACTTCCTATTGTGATCTCCTCATGTTTATGAATCTTCAAAATCGCCGGTAGATGAATAGGCGTTATATTCCCATTGTCATCATCGCCACTTAAAGCACTAGGATGAACCATTTTAGAGATTTGTCGCAATGGGGATTTCTTCAGCATACGTTTTTGGTGTCTGGAAAGATCGCGGATTTTTCTGTCCATATGTTTCTTATAAACAGCAACTTCATCAAGGTATGCGGCTTCGTGGGAAGCTAGCTTAAAAAGAACATTTGGACGAGTTTCACTTTGAACTCCATACGCTTGCATGTATGTCCCTGGAACAACATTTTGCTGTTTAATCTTGTCTGTACTGCTTCGAAATTCTTTCATAATAACTCCTATTAGTAACAAACACTGCTATTTCTTTGTCTCCTCTCGGCACACCCTGGAGAGGCGACTCATCATTCATGCTTTCTCAACACACATGTCCTTCAGTAGGAACAAATCATGTCCTTCAGTTAGATCCCTATAAAGTTGTTTGTGTCTTCATCTTTGTCGTCTTGATTTCAATTTTATAAAAGATGAATAACTTATTGTTGCAAAATCAATTATTTCTTTGTAAACATACGAATGGTAATCGAGATTGGTGCTTAGTAACGCACACAAATTATTAACTTAAAAATGACCAAAGCCATGGTCACCTTAAGTGTATTCAGGTTTTAACAAAGCTTTTCACCTAGGCTTGTTAAAAGTAAATAAGGTAAATTATTTGTCAAATATGAGCAGTAAATCTTTCTTTCAAATGGAATAAAATTTGTGAAATATGAACGTTTAGACATATTGATTTTATGGCATTAAATTTAGTAACCTAGGATTACGAGAATGTTTGGGCAAACATATGGAAGGATGTTTGAGTTTGTAATAGTTCCTGTTAGATTTCTGCTACAATCTTTGCATATTTCCTATCATTTCCTTTAAATACAAGCCATTAACTTTATTGACCTAGTTCAACAGTTTCAATCAAAAATACATTACATATTGTAATTGTAATTGTAAAATTTATTATAGTGTCTTGGGTAAAAGTATACATAAAATATCAATTAAAACGAACCCCGGGCCGACATCGGCCTATAAGACACCTGTCTTATCTATATAAAACCCGCTCCCTGGTCCTGAGCATTTGGCCACAGGCCCTGGCAACGTATAGGTAGATTCCAGGCTCACTCATAAGTATTTTAAATTGTTCTTCGTGATTTTCTGGAAATAATGTTAATTTAGATGTCACTTTATGCAACATATCACGCCTTAACACATCATATTCACTACAGTCCATTATAACATGCTGTTCATCCTCTACGAGTGGGACCTCTTCATTGCAAATCACACAATGTCTATCTTGGACAGCCAGGCGTTCATATCTGCCCGTTTCAATTCGGATTGGGGCGACTCCACAGCGTAAAGATGCAAATGCCCTTCTATCCAATAGTGATAGACTAGATTTAAGATAGGGCTCGCAGTCGCAGTTGTCTTTAAACGTTCTATAAGTTCTAAGTTTGTTCCGTTGGTTTGGATCACGGCGGTTGTCATTCCACAAATTGGCTCTCCATGCATTTAATCGAATGGTTTTCAGCGTGTGCAGGACAGATTCCAATGGAGAATCGAACCCCAATCTTTTTGGGCTATTGGGAAATTATCCAGGTGGCGTACTTACAAAAGCCTGATTATTATGAAGCCTTATTCCTATGTAACGCTTTTGGTTGCAAATTGAATCATAGCGTTTTCCTAAAAAGATGAGTATTTATTTATCATAATCATTAATTATCACCATCTTGCGCGAGGCCTATTCTCGGGGTATAAGTACTATTTTAGACGCCCTATATTTTACTATGTTGACTTGAGCAATAGTGGCGAGCCTTAGTTGTCATTATATGAGTTTGTATTCCTAGTATTTCTAAATATTACATTAGTATCCGTGCGCTCAATGCATTTCACCTTAAGAACACACTTTAGTTTCGTTTGTGTAATTATTTTGATGAAGCTGAATAGAAGTGTTATGGGTGCATGCACTCTTTGATGGGCAAAAAGGAGGAACACAAATATAGGTCTGTTGTTGGTTATATAATGACCTAATTTTATCATAAATTACATAATTTTTTAAAGCAATATACTTTTTGCAGAAAGGTCTATCAATCGCCAATAGCTGGCACCAGCAACACAAGGACTTACGTGTATACTGTATAACTAAGCGTCCGCAATACTATTGTAAAGCCTATGACCATTTTCAAACTATTCCTGACAATGTGCTGTTTATATACTATTCAATACATTGGACGATGAATGTCTTGAGAGAATGCAACAGGAACAGGCACTATTGGTAAACTAATTTTACATATAAAAAATAGATATATATGTTTCTTGAAGAATAATGAACACGATTCGGATTATTTGCTCGAGATGGTGTAGTCGTGTGGTTTAAGATATTGAAAAATACTAAGATCAGTAGTTTTATATTTCAAACTAACCTATTTTTCGTGGAACTTTCTCAATACGTTGTTGGTATTGTTGTTGTTCTTGCGTTGATATCGATCAATGGCTTGAAACCATATATTGAGGTAGTCTATCCTCCCAGTTCCAATAAGGGTCAGGACAAAACATAAGATAAGAAGTCTGGTAAATCAAAAACCTCAAGGATGCCTATAGTCAAGTTGGAAACTGATATATGTAAACAATAAAAATCAATTCATTATAGTGTTCTCATCGATCATTTCAGATTTTTCCCTGCTGGTGTTTGACGCCTCTGGTACGGAGTGAATCAATGTACACCTCCCTCCATAAGTCTGACAACTGAAAGTCCCCCTTTGAATCAATTAATAAAACCTGTTTATGTTTGGTGATTTAAACAAATGAATCAAAGTTGTTATACATTTCCAAACTATTATAATTATACAAAAGAAAGACTCAAAATGCAAACAATGACGCTTTAATGCAATCCAATGAAAACCTTGGGTTGCCAAACTAATGGAGGGAGTGTATGGTTCTCTGCTATACTGGAAGAATCCACCAATACTTTAATTCCATTGTACATATATATTGTCGTTTTTATTTATTTTTGTCTAGTGCTTTTTTCTGTATTTTCTAGAATGATGAGTATTCCCCGGGAATATCACTACAAAAGGTGTAGTCTTTGACTAGTGTTAGCCATTGAATTAACATATCTGTACTAAGGTGATCTAACCATCATTGGTGTTAAACAAAAGAGAAACTACTCATTCATAACTGTCGGAGTAAGGAATAAATCTCATGCATTAGGCTACCTCTTGATCTACGTGTCTCTATCACACTTGCACCATAACCACTCATACCCCATTCTATTTCACACTTTCATTTCAGATCCTTAACAGCGATTGGCTAGTTTAAGACACGTGGCACATATTGTCATACCAGGATTGAATTATTAATTAACGACTGATTATTAACTGTGATATATTGATATTTTGCTTTAATAATTTATGTTATCCACATAATCAGACAATTGATTTGAAGATCAGTTTCAAATCCCTGATCTTGATGTGACACTTATTTATACTAATATCTCATTTTTGTTCTTAAAATCTCAATGAAATCACCCACTGGATTCTGTGTTTACAATTATTTTCCATATATTTTATCTTAGTTTTGTTAATACCGACTGGAGCGTGTTTAGTTGTATAACAAACGGATTTGCTTTCCTATGTTCGATTCCTCTTGCTTTAAGTAAATATCCAATTAATATGGGAACACCGTGGGACTAGTGAAGTAGACAATTTATTAATATAAATCTTCATGATACGAGAATGCCTAATCCTATAAACAGAACAGATGAACGATTCTAGGATCTAGGAATTGTTCTGATTTAATCAAGCTAATTGCAATGAACGAAATAGTACGCATTCGTCTATTTGTGGATTAGTTCGACTCTAAAATGGTGATCGTACAATAATATATACTAATGCCCTAGTGCTATTATACCATCCGCAAAGTCTGAGAAGAAAGTCTAAAAGGGATTCTGGTTTAAAGCAGTCATGAAGGTAGGTGATCGTGAGCTTCAATTCTATCTTTTAGAGATCATGATTAAAGGTTTGGAAAAGGACTATTGGTATTTGCAATCAGCAGAATACTATTGATGTCAATAGTGCGATTTAGGTCAGAGGAGCTAATGTTGATTTACATGGTAGAACAACGTGAGTCAGATTTTACAATGGTAGAACATGATCAAAATAAAAGTTTCCGATATTGTGTCAATAACTTTCGATAAAAGTGCATGGATATAACATGATCTATCAATAAACATAAAAGCATTGTAAAATTAAAAGTACAAAACAACTGCAAACAACTTAGCGCGTTCGCGTATGTTGTGATCTGAAAAGTCTGAATTTGGATGTGAAAACGAACATGTACTCGTGCACGTATACGTACATGTATGAAACTTGTTTTTGATTAAACGATTTGATGTTGATCCGAACGCTAGCGCGTTTCAAATTTTTAGAACCACTACAGATAGTTTAACTTTGTTTCTTCAAAAGAAAGCTTCATCCTCATCATTGGCATTCCATTAAAGTTGAAAGCCCATGTCTATATGTACTGGTTCTGGCAACAGGCTAGGGTATTTAGACTTGTTTGGGATCAAATATGTAACTCCTGTCGTGATTGACATCTGTTTGTCAAGTCAACACTAGACACTTTAGATCCAAAATTTAAAAATAACTCATCGTGTTTAACTTGTAATCGAAACGTATTTGCGTTTGAAGGAGAATTATTTGCTCATGAATATAATAGGAACACCGAACTAATAACAACGATCTGCAAAGCGATCAATGCAAGAGAATATATACCCAATAAATACCCGAAATTCATAGATGAGTCTCACCTCATCTCCATTTCAAAATTCCCGGTTTTAAGATGAACCCTTGACTTGTGTGGAATTACGTCGATGTAACAAAGGCGAGGGACGAAACTATAAATTGCGGTTTGTTCAAAAGTCAGAATCTGATCTAGCAAGATCCTCAGAATTTAAACAGTTTTCCCCATTTAGTCAATTACAACATCACCAATTCATAACAAAATAACAAATACAGCAAGGAATATATTGGTAGGTCAACTGTACATGTTGCTTGCAATTTTGTCACTCCCTATAGATCTGATTTTCCCTTTAAGTCAGAACCAAGTTCCAATCCACGTGTATATTCTGAAACTAGACTTTCTTGTCTGGAATTAAGCCAACGTGTGGTCTGCTGGTTGACTTGTAGGTAGGTTTGGATCGAGAACTCGGAGACAGGTAATTCCTCTATTTTGTTATACTTTGACGTCAAACAAAACAGTTATCATATCATGACACGAGACAGTCAAAGAAAGTCATCGATAACCTTTCGTGGTTGTGTGAATTCTGGGGTATTCCATCCTCCTGAGGCGACCCAAACAAAGTGAGTCAGGTGATAAAATGTGACAAGTAGGATAGCGTGTATTGATGATGGTTACTTGCTTAAATGTCAATTGAAAATTTCATGTAAAAATTATTTGAAGTAATTTTTTCGAGAAGCATGTGGTGTTAGACATATTTATAACAAAAGATAAAGTATGGGATGTATCTCTTGAAATCACAAAATAGAACATATTAATTTGTTTCAATGCATATAATTGCGAAACACTCGGGAAACACTAGTACTTCATTTTAGCATAGTGCTGTTTTGAAACTGAACTGTAATGTCAATGAAAAATAATCAAAACATTTGTAATCTTAGTTCACAAATTTTATTTGCCCGACATGTTTCATATTTCTTTTTCGAGAGTGCAAAATGTAGAACTCCATTGTGTGTCTAATTTTAGCTTTTCGGCTTACTTCTTGTGTAAACTTTCATCAGACCACACTTTTTTACTTATTTTGTTTGCTAGGTGGGAGTTGACGTGCCACCTTTTAATCGAAAGGGCAGCGTAACTGGAAGGCCTAGCGACCGTGTAAAATGACAATAATATAAACCATAACATAAACATCACTTGTCGTTTTTGGCAATGAAATGTTTAATATTCTATAAGTGTCTGAATAACCCTATTTGCCAATGAATAGTTTACAGATTCGCTTTAGTCTTATCGTATCTAATACATAGAGTCAATATTTCTCAATAGTCTTTGAATTCTGGCTGGTATCATTCAAAGACTTTTCGTAGAACATTTGCCAAAGCGCTCCCGGTCAAATATCAGAGTTAGAGTATTCAATGGTAACCATAAGACGAATTGTAGACATACTTTAACACAAAACATACGATTTCTTGTTCAAAACAAGTCGAAATGAGCATTGTAGAATCTCTATAGTCGTGATAGCGGTATAAAGTTTCTGATCAAACGAAACATTCCATTGATGAATGAAAGAAAACTAACTAACACTTCAAATCTTAAAGAGTGAATTTATGAGTGGCAGTTCAGAATTGTAAGAGTCAGAAACGAAGCAAGTTAGCGCTTATAAATGACATCAACTTATTAATGACATCAACAAAAATGTAACATTTATGGATATGGATACTCAAAAACTGTAAACTGACGAACATTCGTTATGTAAGTAATCATTAATTATATTTGTTTGAAGTTTGAAATATTTTGGCACTTTGTTGCTGTTGTTTGTAAGTGAACCTTCTGTGTTCAACCAAGGACAGATAGACTTCCTTGGTTCAACTTATGACATCAAGTTCAAAGTATTACTGCAAATTAAATGAATAAAGCCTAATGTAATGATAATTATTAGGAATACTATTGGCTGCTTCAACAATAAATTTTTATTTCATACTAAGATCGTAAAAGGTGGTCATATCGTACTGTACACAGTTGAAATCAGAAAGCATTGCTGATTTGTTCATTAAAATGAGCCATGCGATGATATTTTGTGTATTTCGGATAGTTTTAGCTAACAAATGTGAGGTACTTCTTTATGATATATAATGCTTTCATATTCTTCCAATTAATTTTATTTTTGAACCACGATCGACAAGCTGAGGAACGAGGTTAAACAGCTTATCCCAAGGATACGAAAATTAATTTTTGATACACTTCTGTCTTTTCTATTCAGAACTGGCCCTATTTTATAAAAATCTGCAATAACCTTGCGATTTCTGATTCAGGGTCAACATCTCATAAAACCAAATGAAGAAAATTAGATAACAAATCCAGAAATTCAGTATGAGACTACGTAACATATAAACTATATAGACCTCGTGTTTTTCTAAAGTTAAAATGCGAAAAGATACAATGGATTTGAATAACATGTGAACGTGGCCTAAGGTGTTCTACTAAGAAGTTAAGAAAACTTAAACATACTTGAATACAAATTCCTTTTAGCTCTCTCATATCTTCTAAGATTTCTATGTGGTCATTGGGCATTTGAAGCATTTGTTTAAAAGATTAACCTGAATGGCAGCTGATGAAAGGGGCACATGATCTCAATACAATAATAGTTTTGGAGAGGCAAGGCAAACACCATATGAGTTAAACAGAGCAAACTTCATCTTTAAATTGAGCTAAGTAAACTTCGATTAGTCCTGGTGATTAGACAGCATAGATTGGCTGTGGAATGCCTGGTTTGTGCCCAGCCCAGCGACAATGTGAATAACAAGGCTTACAAAATGTCACCACCAATTTAATTGCAGTTTAGCATTATGTACAAAAGTATGACAACTTGCTATCCCAAACGCCGACGCTGGTAACTGGTAGCTACTAACACGTAAAAGCGTTGGCTATTAAAGGCCGCATATGAAGTTTAAACCTATCAAAATGTGGTATGTGAAACTTTTCACTTTAATTTCCAAAAATTGATTTTGAAAGGCTCTTTTTGAAAAATTGTGATTTTATTTCAAATAAAACTCTAGTTGTCACGTCTTATATATCCTATCGTCGTGACATCACGTACACACATGTTTATATTTGCATAAAACCATAAATTGAATGGTTGAAAAAATATAACTTTTGCCCGATGCATTCAAAGGATTAGAGAAAATAGTGCGTTTACTGTGTTAATAGTTGTATTTGATGATGACTTACTTAATTAAATAGCAATTTGTCATCAATAAGCAACGGAGTAATTAGTATTTTCATAGTCGGCTAGGCCACTGTTAGCTGGTAGGGAAGGGCAAAGTCTCGCCGGGGCATCATCTCTAAAATACAATAATTCCACAAGCAAGCACCAGCATTAGGACGTGACTGCAATCGATTGCGATAAGAAAAAGCAAACCATCAATCTCGCTAATTAATCTCAGTAAATCCATGTGATTAATCAACCTAGAAGTGATGAAAATATAAGAGAAGGCAAGAGAACAACCACAATTAAAACATAGCTATTTTTGTAATGATACAGTGTAAATCACGGTATTTTTGCGAACGTGCATAGTCTGAATGCTAGTAGGTATAGCTATACCGTGACAGGACCTTATCTATCTCCAGGTTGTGATTTTTCTTTGAAGGAGACTTGGGTTTTGTTGTTATAATAAAAATCAATGATTGTGAACCGCTTAGCATTTAAAATGTGCTGATCAATTGTTATAAACGACTTGCCTCGAGATAATTGGAGACAAAGAGGAACCTGCTTTAGCTGCTGAACAATGCAAAATTCATGAAAGTGGTTATGTTTTTCTAATGGAGTACTTTGCATTATGATAAATTCTGTGTTTTGCAAATGATCCGAAGAAATATAGCACATATGAATACTTAAAGGCAATTACGTGTTATATCAGTAAAGGTAAATTAAGCAAAATCGATTTGTTATTTTTTTATTTGATCCCAGACAGAGTGAAGTCAGAATCACTTCTTGGGAACGGTATTTATATCACATGAATTTTCGATACAAGTTTTGTTCATGAAATCTTTAGCATTTGGGGATAAGTCGAATACGATTGCATCTTAAACGCAAGTCAAATCAATAATCCAGTTTGATCGATTATGATTTCAATTGACTTTATTTAATTTATTTCAGGTATGCTGCTGAGAATACTGATTACCTGGTGCAATCGCTCGTTGCCATGACTAAATACCTGAAAGAACAACATATCAACATCCAGTCGGAGGCCTTTTTATGCAACTCGAGAGTGAGTGATGTAAGTCATGGAAGAATCAGGAAATTAAAGACAATGTAAAAGGTGTACACGTATGCCACTTTAAAATTGACGATAACTGAAGTCACAAGTCATTAAAAATGGCGTTCTCAACTAGTGATTGGATACCTGCAACGTCATTCCGCGGTGCTGGCCTAAAGGCCGCTGGATCACGTTACCACACTGACGATGACATTCACTCAAACGCTGGGAATTACTCCAATGATATAAGTGTAAGATTGACAAAATCTAACAATCAAGAACGCGAGCTGAGGAACTCAATGCTTGCATACAGTCAACGAATGAGCGAAATCAATCGCGCGCGAGGATACAACCGATTTAGCCGCAGTGCACCCGAACTCTCATCCCTTCATGTTAAAGCAACACATATTCCTACGCAAAGTACGTCATTGCCTAAAATTCACAAACGTTCCAAAAAACGAAACAGACCTAAACAATTTTTAAAGGACGAGTCGCCAAATGGAGGTGATACATTAGCTACCTATGGTGATATCATAAACTCTAGTGATAAACTACGCAAAGAAGGTATTTCGTCCAGGGAACTTGCACGGTTATCAAAGGCGACTGCGTCAGATTTATCAGACGTTAAACGTCTCTCATATCCAAAACTTATTCCAAATTTAACTTCGTCTGACAATGACCAGGCAAAGAAAATCGATCACAGTGATACAGAACAACCCAAATCATCATTCCCATCCATCAAAATCAATGATCCGTCAACGGATTTTAATATAAAAGCACGGATAGTTGCAAAGCTAAACGCACAACGGGATAAAATGGAACAGGTTATGGGAAATGGACAGCAAGTGAATCCTCCAAGGAGAAGGAGAAAAAAGAAAATCAAAGTGCCGCCATCGTCTCCATTGGAGGCAATCCCGGAGTATGTTTCTAGTGACGAAGAAGTGGCTTATCTGAATGAACAAGATGATTTGAATTCCGACTTACACGTAGAATCAGATCATAGTCAAAATATACATAACACGCATAGACATAATCATTCAAAATCAAACACTCCCATCTCAATGAAACCAATGTTAGATGCAATACCAGAAGTGGACTCCTCTGTGAGATATACAATTCAGATTGTCGACGAGGAAGACCGGATATCTCCCCCCTCAAGTCAAGTCGCTCAGAAGAAGCGGCGGAAATTAAACGATTCTAAGCATAAGAACGTTAAATTTTCAAAAACAATTAAATATCTGAAATGATATAATTTTAATATATGATGATGTAAGGAAATAATAATTTAAATAGATATAAATGGATTATTTAAAGAAAACCTTTTAAAATGCCATCTTTTAATATATTCCATTTCTAAATATAGGACTATTCCGCAGTTCGACGTTTCTCTCGATTTCAACTTCACTTTTAAGGTAGCCCTTTGCTCGTTAAGAATTCCAAATATTGTCTACTACCTTAGATAAAATATGAGTTGGCAATTCGTTATGGTTATTACAAATATAATTATTTCGTTTCACATTTCCAATGTGATGTTTATGTTCGTTAGAAGGAGGTTGCTCAAAAATCATAAGGATCAGACTTTTTGTGAACATAGGCTCTGTATTAACCATTCCCAGTAATCTACTTAAACGTTTCGTTCAGTGCATATATAGCTGGTCACTCATGGTCACGCATGATAATGCTATCTGGACGAGGTACGGTCGCCATAGGAGGTAACACTGCACTAGACGACAGCTTATAACACGCACAAGAAGAAGGAACACGATGAAATCGCCAGTGCACCCCTCCAACACAGAATTCTGGAAGCCATTGTTGGGTGTATTGCTGGAAACAGCGCGATCTTTTGGAGCAAAATTGACACTCCGAGCCAGGGTTCCTGAAATTAAAAAAAAACTTTTTTATTTCAGAGGAAATATAAATGATTGCCAAACTTTCGTAAAGGGAGTCTATATATTCTTTAAAGTACAACCCCGAACCTGACTCGTAATACTTACTTACAGACTGTTTTCAAAATAACAAATAGGGGAATGCACTCATTCTCTAACTTGGCGGGTTTGAAAAAGTTCGTCATTGTCGGGCAAATATCTTGACTTCCTTTTGGTACATTCGATTCGATATGTATGTCTCTTTTTGGCGCTTCTTTTGCCGTATCTTTATTATCTTGGGGTTTGACATATGGTTCTTTGACTTTTGGTGGATCTATATGGAGGTCCTCTGGTTTCGAAGGTTCATCTCCTAACATTGGGCCTCCGGAGTCACCATCGGCCGCTGTTTTTCCCTCTTCACTATCTTTGTCCCCTTGATCGCTAAATGCAATTTATTTAAATACGTTTTAAGTGGTATGATTGTAAATCTATATAACACATCTGTACTTGCATTTTGTAGAAAATAAGTCTGAATTTACTCTATACTTTCTATTTTATCAGTTTAAGTATTTACACCAGAACACCAGACACGCTATCCGTAGAGGATTCAATTCACAAAGACCAATTTTCACTTCAATATGAATGTTTGGCTTCTCTTCTCTCATGAAACCTATATAATTGATAGAACATTGAACATAGCTAGTTAGCATCGATATCAACCTGGCCCAATTTGTTTCCAGGGTTTAAGTATACCATTAGAAAGGGAAAGTGTCGAGTGCGAGGATATGATAAAAAATACAAAATGATAAAATAAAGCTTTCATAAATAGCAGAAAATATTATATTGTCCCTTAGAATACAACCCATATCAAATACCTCCAAATAAATTACCTTTAAACATACATTCGAAGATCAGAACGGAGCAAAAATCACCCGATATCAAAAGTGTGATTGATGGCCAAATTAGACCATATTTCCCCACATGCAATGCAAGCGCAAGCGTAAAATTATGGTTTTTCAAAATACTTACACCATTGTATCTCTACTTTTCCAGGCAAATAAGGGGTCTGTGAGGACATTTCCAAACAATAGACTTATCAAACTCAGATATAGAAGTGGTGACGCCCATTCCATCTGAAAGGAAAATTAAAGTTTTAATGAAAGAATCTGATATGAGTTAGGTCTTCATCACTGTGTTTTGTTTGTATCACAGTCATACTTACGTTGATAAACAAATAACAAACAAGAATGAGTTTTGTTTGGCGATATTACATGATGTTACATAATATATTTCTAAATACTAATTGAAATAAAATCCAAGTGTTCAGTATTTATTTGCATACACTTATAAATCATTAATCTTGTAGGATATGGAGGATTCAGGACAATGTCCCAAGGCCTTGTGATTTAGTAGTAAATGTTGTGGTCATAAAGGAAATTACCTGTTAGCCTATTGTTCAGAAGAACATCTCACGTTATCATCAATTACTCTTAATTACCTTCAAACATCGGGGTTCCGATATAATGCACAATACTCTTGGACCAAGGCTGCACTTTATCATCGTTAATGCTATTGTACTTAGTATAACTAAACGATTTACTATAAAATTGAGTTAATAAATGGTATTTACAGAATACTTACCGTCGGTTTTTATTTTATCCTTTGCCTATAATATAGAGTAGATTCCAGTTAAAAATAAACTATAGGAGTCTATTTCATTTTTTAATCGTGATGTTGAAGTCAGAATAAATTGTAATTTGTGAATATATGACTGCGTATCCAGTTTTTCTTTGCAGTAATGTACAATACATGGCTGTAGTTTTATAATAGAGACGAAGAAAGGCATTGGAAGATCAAATGGCGATTTATAAGAATCATTTTCTAATTCAGATTTCTCCAAACATTAATTGATTGAAAGTTAATACAATGGGTCACCTATTTTAAATAAATGATCTTAATTGTATTGAATGGCGGGCTGCATTAAAAAGCCATACAAAGCTTTCTTCATCTGATAATCAAATTGAATATTGGCCGACCATACATTGAATTTTGAGCAGGAAGAAAACGCAAAATGGAAGTGTATTGAATATGATACGTGATAAGTAGATGCACATTGTAACGTGGTCAAAAATCAGTTATGACTGCCTGGCCGTTTGGTCTAAGCAAAATAATTGGAAACTGGGAAACTGGAAACTAAGAGCTCTTGTATTACCTGGCTTTGGACAGAAATAACGTGTTTCCAAGGATTTTCCTTGGTTGATATTTACTAACGGAGAAAGCAGATAACAAGTAAAATAAAATCGTTGGAAAGTGAGATTTCACATTTAAATACCTGAAAAGTATACTGAAGCAATTAGCTGTTGATGTATTTTTGTATTCACAAAGAGAAGGATGAGATGAAACATATTATTTTCTTTATTTCAGATTTTGGGTTGATAAGAAATAAAATGATACATCATTTAGACATCTTGCTTCACAAGCTTCGGACATAGACATAGTGAATGAGTTTGGGTGCCCATAGAATCATAATGAGTAATCAGAAAAAGATACAGGGTGTCCATACAGTCTCTTTGCACTTCACAATTGTAATTGTAAAGAAAATTCATTGTCACCCTGTATATTCTCGTATATACCTCATGTGAAAGGTATTTTCTGTCATTGCCATTTTATGTCATGTTACAGTATGTAAGTAGAGTGTGTCATGGAAGAAATGGATTGACACCAGTCTCCAAAAAGATTCCTTTCCTTTTTATAATCGACATGATGAATACAATAGAATTATTTCAAATGATATATTACAGCTTGTCGCCAACTAAAATAACAGTCTTAGAGCCAACAAAAAGTTCTAAAAAGCATTGGGCCCTGTTTAAATATAAGAATCGCTATTCTTACTATTGAAATGGATTCTAGAGTAGAGACTCAATCAACTCGAGTTCTTCTGAAAAATGAGGATTTCAGCAAGGGTGCATTGGCTTATAAACATGGGGGTATACACCATTGACTTTATGACTTATATAGCATTGGGAATCATCATGTGACTGTTGTGTTACCATGGGAATGGATACAAGATTCTCTTCTCCCCAGAAGAACAGGAACATTCATGTTGAGTATTCCTAGAATCCACTTTCACAAGTAAGAGTAGGGGTTTTCAAACACGATATTAAACCTGAGACCTTTTTAAAATTTTTGTATAGTACTATGTAGCCTCCTAATGACTTAGCTTGTAAATGACTCAGCTTGTATTCGCGAATGCGACTAGCGCCTGTCGGCTACCGGATTAACCTTCTTTTTCATGACCAACTCATTTAAATATGTGGCAGGTAATATTCATATTTAAACGAGTTGACATAAACTAGCATAAGTTAATCCGGTAGCCGACAGGCGTTAGTTGCATTCGTGAATACAAGGTTAGTCTCTCATACAGTGTAGGTCAACACCTTTTTTATAATCGTATTTTACATTGGCGTGAGACTCTAATCATAACACGTTTGGGACCTGACACTATTATATGATCACGTGATACCATCGATAACAACGTCAGCCAGCATATCATTCTGAGGAAGGAACACGATTTGTTCCGAATCGTCAATAAGTAACTGTTTTCGGTTGAGGCAACCAGAGATAAATTAAATAAATGTCAATATATATTATATATATCTATATGTCCACCCAATAGTATTAATCTAATTTCTATATCTGGACAGGAGGACGTATAAAGCATGAACATCCTGACGGAACTTTGATGGCAATCCAATGTAATCCACCTTGACATAGTAATGGAACCCAATGATTGGCGAACGTCTGGTAGCACGTCGGAACCGCTGCATTTTTGTCCCCCACGTTCTCCGTGCATTGGTTACATTGCACTTTATTTACACCTTCCCTGGATCAGAAATATTTATATAAAAACATTTTCTCTTGCTATTTTTATTGGTTGTGAAAACCTTTCGGCTAGCGATACCAAGCATAGTCCAACAGTAAATCCCTCTGGATCTTATAATGAAGAACTCGGTAAAAACTAAAATCTAGCAAGAAACGAGCATAGCCATACAACAACCCAAATTGTTAGTACCTCAGTGTAAATACTCGCATCTGATTGGTCAATTAGCGGTCAACATTTTTGCCTGTACCCCACCTGTGCATCATGGGATATCATATTATTGACCGCGTATGTTACTGTACTACACTTGTGAATTATGGGGAATATGACGTCATAATGTTTACAGAAAAAACATGGTAGACGGACATTTTGTAAACGTTGATGAAAGTGATATTTTGACTTTGCTAGACGACAATTATAGCAGAAATACAAATAGAACCGTAAAATTAACATTAATTTACCAGCATATATTTTTTAGCTGACAGTATTTTTAATTCTGATTGATTTTTTTGAAAATGTCGAAAAATAGTTAAGTGCTCATCTAATTGATTATGTATTGTACACTGTAAATATTATGTACATATTTTGTCGTTCATTTTAAATAAAAAAAAAACAAAAAAACAGTGAGTACGCAGTGATGTGCCGAAAACAGAGAGTTTAGCCACCACTGTCTTCAGATTTTGCTGGCGTGGTTCGGAGAAAAGATTGTGAAATGAAGCCATGATTGATGACTGTTGTCTATATGTGTATTATTAGGTTTTTCGGGCTAACAAAACAATTGTAGACCTCTCCATTCGGTCAACCGTCAAAATCATATACCTCGACTGTAAACCTTGAAACTACTGTTGACCTCGACCTTCGGTCTCTGTCAACAGTAGTTTCTCGGTTTACAGTCTCGGTATACAATTTTGCCGGTTGACCTCTGGAGAGGTCAACAATTGTATACTGTACTTACGCACACTCGATCTGTTCGATGACTATAAGAGATATACAGGACGGCGAGGGCATATCTCTTGGTAGAATTTTAGCATAACTTGCCCGCATTGCACATGTAGACATCGAATTAGCAGGCGCATCCGAATCAACAAACCTGCAATTGAAGTAGACTCTAGTAAGTCTAGTTGCAGGTTCTGCATGCATTCATTTCGACCTTTCCAAAGAGCACGTGTGTTACTAATTAACAGAGGTGGATACGTTGGGTAAATGTTTTGAGACGACAGAATAGCATGACCGGTTGTCTTGTACCAAGACTTCTAGTCTTTACAAAGACTTCTAGTCCTGGGAGCCTTCAATAGAAGGAATTGCAGGGTGGCCATATTCTCAGTTATACTTTATAACTAAAATTAATTTGAAAACTGCTATTTTTTAATTTCCATAAAGACCATAGTTGGTGTAAAATATACCCATTTTAATCAACCAGTGTTGAATTCATCACGGCCCACAATACATTTTTTCTCTGAGAATCTTCACGCTGAATTTATCAAAAAGTTTCTATGATTTTCGAACTTACGTATCACGCTGAAAATTTGAAGGCCCGCTCTTTCCCACCGCCATACAGCGTTCATTTTGCATTTTTACAGCCAAGACGACAAGCAAAGCGAACTGAAATGAGATATTAATATTATCTAACACAACTTTCTCTAAAGGATTAAAGTTTCCAAAAAATATACAAAAATATTTAGACCTTATGTTCTTCTTATTTTGACTTTTTGAACAATTCTTTTGTTATTACAGATACAACAAGTACGTCCAGATCACATCACATTCGCACGGAGCTTAACTCGACAGTCATTTTTGACGTCGTTCTACAGTGTTTTGAAAGCGTTCAAAGATATGTTTCTCCCGTCGTCCAAAGTAATTATGACGGCAGTGGCAAATCATGGTATACCTTTTGTTTTTGTTGAACCGATGGGGCAAACGGTTGGACATTCACATTAATTTATAGTTTGACAAATTGACATACATGTACATGTATATCATTGTTGTTTTACCTTTTGCTTACAAATTATTCCAAAGCCGACGTTGCTGTGATATCCTTTTCGAGTGCAAATGAAAGTATCCATTGCAGAACGGTAATTATTATCATGATTATAATTCCTAATATATTCTACAAAGTTCTATACAAGAAAATGTTATCGAGTAATTTATCGTTTGCTTTCCAAATTATTATCAAGTACACGTATATGATAGTTTGCTTGCCAAATCCTATTAAATGGTTGGTAGTTTGCGTACAGGATTCTTATCAAACATTTCGCAGTTTGCTTGCTAAATTGTAATCATATATTTCATAGTTTGATGCAAAATTGTTATCATGTATTTCATATTTTGCTTCAAAATTGTTATCATGTATTTCATAGTTTGATGCAAAATTGTTATCATGTATTTCATATTTTGCTTCAAAATTGTTATCATGTATTTCATAGTTTGATGCAAAATTGTTATCATGTATTTCATATTTTGATGCAAAATTGTTATCATGTATTATCATATTTTGCTTGCAAAATTTTTATCATGAATTTCGTAGCTTACCAAACAATTCGACGAAGTCATGGCTGGCATCTCTGGACATCAATGCATTAGAAATATCATAGAAATATTGTATTTATACCTTGTGTCATTTTTAATTAATGGAACAGTTCTTCCGTTCTCACACGATAGCACTTGCATTCGACCTTCAGCAATGATTCATTTTAATACTTCAGAAATCACGGGAAATCAAAACATACATAACTAATCGAAAATCAGTGCGAGTTTAAACCATGGTGATATTATAAGTAAAACATTGGTCCCTTTTCTGGAATACAATGAACACAATAAATCCTATTTCATCATTGAGTTATTCAAAATCTTATTTGGAATTTTCTCAAAAAGCTAACGTTATTTTGATGCACACGGGAGCATTTTGTATTCGATTTTCATGCGCAACACATTTGCTTTTATAATCATGTTTGATTGTGTCGATTTTTTGACATAAGAATTTTGTTTATAGGTCTGTTGACTGATGACTGTTTGATGTTCATTAGATACTTTCAAATATTACTTAACGAACTTTGAAAACCAATGGGATCGCCTTTGCATTTATAAGTGCTATAACTCTAGTGTGACAAAGTCGGCTGCCTGTTCGATTGTAATTTTATGGCAAACTCATTTGGATATGAATAGTACCTGCCATGCTTCCCGATGGCTGCTAGCTATCGAGCCAAGCCCGATCGCTGACCTTCCGACTGCTTAACCTTCGTCAAAATGCACATATAGGACCACTCTACCCCGTGTCAGTTATATATAGCGTCATAACTGCTTCATTATTCGTTTAGAATAAATTCCCTTATACGAATATTAATGTAACATTTACAAATAAATTTCCCAAATTACAAATACAAATATGATGTATCAAATAAACAAACATATACTAAATTCTGGTGCATTTTATGTTTGTAAGGACTAGAAATATTTGTAACTAACAATTTATTATTCGCCTACTACAGCTTACAATTCGTAGATTTCCCCAAATTTGCCTGTTATTTTATCGAAGAGATGTATTTTTACCAATAATAATCTGGCATATTACCCATGAATTGTTGCAGAAAGCAAAGGAATATTCGTACATTAGCGAATGATAAAATGAAACCTTACGAATATAAATGTGAGTTTACGAATACAAATGTGAATTAACGAATATAAACTGCAAGTCTCGAGGCAAAGGTCACGTGACGTGACATGTGAGGGGGAGGGGGCGATGACTTTGACCATGGGTTGACCATGTCTCGTTGAGAATGATCACGTGATCTTAATAAACCAATTAAAAACGAATATAAAAGTGCAATTTACGAATATAAATGACAATATTTACGAACAATAAATGTGCACTTTTACGAAAACATATTACCTTGTTACGAAAATAGATTCGACAATTAAAAAATAAAAATGCCAAGACTAGTACCTATTCATTGATAAATTCGACATTCAGTTCTTAGATATCAAATTAATATATTTGCAGAAACAATGATAAAGGTACAAAATGAGCTCATTTTATTTGTATACGGATAAACAATGTGTCACTAACAAATGCGTTTAAGGACTTTTGAATGTATTTCAGTATAAAACACATACATATACGTTTTAACGAAACAAAATAGATTAACGAACAGAAAAGGCAAACAATGAATGAAAATACTCAAGTTACGAAAATAAATGTGCATTTAACAAGTACAGAAGTTCAATTTACGAATAGATATAGTAAAATACGAATAATGAAGCAGAAAACATTCCATAGTATAAACCATATAATTTCAACCCTCTCTCCAACAATAAATTGACGTGGCTTACAGGGCCTTAATGAGATAATTGCGAAATATTCAAATGCATTATCTCACTGTCGTTAGACTAAGTAGTTCTAGAAAGTAATTTTTCATGGAAATGTTAACGGGGAAACTCCCTTCAGAATAATAAGGATATGTCCTTGTCCTTTTTTATTATAATATTTATTTCGCCTCCATTTTTGGAGATAATAATAATTAATTATTACATAGAAAGATATAACAGTGGTAGAAACATGAATACAGAGACCAGACACAGATAGACTTCATGGTCCACTTCCGTTTACTAAGGGGAACATCTTCCCCAAGGTTGACGTTCCCCCTTAGTAACTAGAAGCGGGACCCTGGTCTTTCAGTGAACACGGGGCCTTGGTTGGCCCAAGTACCTCCCCCCCCCTAAAATCAAAAGACATTCTAGTTACAACTTACAATTGTATAATTTTTGTGCCAAGGTCAAAGGTGAAAAACTACATGAAAATAAATTATGAAAACTAAATATAAATAAATAGACGTACACTCCCGATCCCCTCCATAAGTTTGGCAACCTTTGCTCCCCCATTGAACTACGTGTTAAAGCCTCTTTACCTTTGAATTTTTATTTACTTAACCTGCGATAAAAATACTTATACTATTGATGAAAACGTAATTTGACTTTATTTCCAATACCTCCAAATTTTCTCAATTTTTTTCCTCAATTACAATAAGTCGACAATTGATGATAAATTTGATGAATTTTTGAAAATCGACATTCCCATGTTAACCAATGGGAAATGGTAGGTTTGTCGCAAGTCATATGGCAGAATATCCATCCATCCGAGTCCTTGCAAAAATACGAGTTAGACAGGCAATTGAATTTGCTAACTTTATTTAACAAAAAATTGATATGTTTCTTCAGGTTCAACAAAGTTATAGGGCTTTAAAGTCAAAATTGTTTTTCAAAAAACCTCTCCCATTGAAATAACACAGGAGGCGAAAAATGATTTTCAAAAATGACTTTGAAGCGCTGTAACTTTACTATTCATCAAATAAACTAAACACGTAGCGTACAAAAAAGTTAGACAATTTATTTTCTATATAAAAATAGTTTTTGTTGAATCTTTTACTGAAAAGATATCCTGATTTCTGATTTGCCGAAAAATGATTTTCAAAAATGACTTTGAAGCGCTGTCACTTTACTATTCATCAAATAAACTAAACACTTAGCGTACAAAAAAGTTAGACAATTCAATTTTCTATATAAACATATTTTTTTGTTGAATCTTTTACTGAAAAGATATCCTGATTTCTGATTTGCCCCGAACCCTCTATTTCCCATTGGATTACATGCCATTGGGAATGACGATTTTCAAAAAATCATCAAATTTATCATCAATTTCCGACCTATTGTAATTGAGGAAAACAATTGAGAAAATTTGGAGGTATTGGAAATAAAGTCAAGTTACGTTTTCATCAATATTATAAATTATTTCATCGCCGGTTAAGTAGATAAAAATTCAAACGTAAAGAGGCTTTAACACGTAGTTCAATGGAGGAGCTAAGGTTGCCAAACTTATGGAGGGGAGTGTATTACAGGCTCATCTTGGTAAAACTATACTACAGACTCATATCGGTAAAATGACTTTGCTAAAACCTATTCACATGATATACTATTAACTATATACTATATCCTATATCCTAAAAAGTACATTTCAACCAAAATAGCTTCTTGCGACAAAAAACAATATGACTACAATCGCGACTGAATGGTGTATGCTCCGTTCAAAGTGTTACAACTGCACAAAGAATAATTATCTTTCATTTTGATTTAGATAATATTATATTCCACATCCATAAAAGTACATATTTTTGCCACTTTTATGATTGCTTAATAATAAATCAATTGTTTATTGCAAAATAATGTTATATATTTCATTCTCAGTAAACTAACGGACAAAATACGAATATTTTTACTTCATTTGTGAATTATGACGTTCACATAATGAATCAGTTTGAGTTTGTCCTAATCAAGAGAATGGGTTTTGTTTCAATTATCTGTTCAGATAATCCGAGGAGCAGTATTCATTCATTCATTCATTCATTCATTCATCACAATTCATTGTTTTACAAATGGACTATAAATGTTGCAGCATATTTTCTGATCATTTATTAGCTCACACGGTGACCTATTGTTATTACCCACTTTTCTGTCCGTTCGTCTATCTGTCCGTCCATCTGTCTATCTGTCTGTTTGCCTGTCAACACATTGGTAGCTAATTAGAAATCCTCCACGACAATTGGAATGGTTTTACTTTTAAAATGTGTCTACATTAGGTCAATTGTTCCATAAGTGGTGTCTTAAAAGCTCGCCTTGATTTCAGCTCTTTTTATCATATCTCCACAAGTATTCAATCAATAAATTTGCTTGCAAAAATTGTGCCTACAATTTACAGCAATATATATCGCAAAGGATCAAAATGACCGCCAATTATATTGTAGAAAAATCAGGTTTTAGCTTGACGAAAATTGTTTCAATTTTAGAATTTATTGGCATATCATTCCCTGTCGTGTCTATTTTCTTAATGGTAGCCCAAGTACCGGGTGTCCCGAAAGTATGGGACCCCCCGTCAAAGTCATAGTATCGTCATAGTAGGCGAGTAGGCCATGGCCAAGCCTCAGGGTGCCAGCCTCAGAAGTCCATTATTTAAGGAGTTTAATAGTCGGTTGACCCTATGGGATATTTTGGTATCGTTGGAAAGCTGAGATATTGACCTGTAATATGTGATAGATACTTACTTTGAAAACAGGTGCCGTTAGTGGTTCAACTCTCAAGTGGAAAAAACTAGAGGCATTTTAAAATTAAGTGTTTAGCCAAAGTTATGTTCAATTTTACAACAAATTTATAGTCAGCATGTACTTGCTTGACCATGTTAACAGTAGCAATTCTTTTCGGATACTTTTATCATGGGTGCGGATTTTTAAAAGCTTCTGCCAGAACCGACAAATGATTCAAAAAGCTTTGCGTGACTTAAAGAGATGAGCCAATATCTAATTGCAGAAAAATGATGGGCATGGAATGTAGTTTGCATCAGTAATCATTCATAACATGACAAAAAATGATAGTAACTTTAACTAAATTAACTTTTTAAATTATGCCACTTCTTTTTTCCATCTGTGCGATGTGCTGTAACTAAACTATCATGAATGCAGATAAACACATCAAGTGAAATCATTTTTTCTAAGCAGATCTAAGTCTAATATGTTTGTCTTGTAAGTCTTGTCATCAAAAGTTAATCCCCAGCACCAATTACATTATGATTTACCTGATGCACGATAAGGATCAGTTGAATTAGGATGTTCAAACTTGGCACAAGGCTCAATATGCTCAATATACATGTGATTCTTCTTCAGTCTGTCCAAATATGGCTCAATAGAACCAAACTCTGATTGGATTAATTATTCGCTTAAGCCATTGGTTGATAACATAATTGATGGGTGTATGCGGAAGTACCATTTAACTGCTAGTTTCTTTTAGTTCCTCTGTATACTTGAAAGGCTGGGTATCTTCATGGACCAACTGTTCTAGATGCCCCCAAATATGGTAATCAACATTATAGGCATCTTGACTACCAGTAAACCATTTGTCTGGGCTAGAGATGGTGACATTTCGAATCTCCAAAAACTCCAGAGTAGCATTGGACCAATGGACCTGTGTGATGGAGCACTGTCCTATCAGAAAGTGAAATTCCTTTCACATGTTTTTTATATCCTTGAGGAGTCCTTTTTAACAACTCATTTCAGTAATATTCGTAGTATATTTTTGCTCTTGGTTCAACAAAAAACAGAGTCGGTCTTTCCTTTTTGGGAAACACCGAGTGACACCAATATCTTTTCAGAAAAATGTCGATTTGAGTAACCTTTTATCGCAATTGTCACTCTTACATGACATGTATAGTACTTGGGGGCATTTAGAACAGTTGGTCTTTGAAGATCCCTAGCATATCAGGGATGTAGACAAACTAAAAGAACGAATGAGTAGGAGTTGGATGGTACTTCCGCAAAGATCCATCAACTATGTCAATGGCTTTCGCGTCTTCAGCGAATAATCCGATCATTAGCTGGGCCTTTTGAGCCATGTAATGGACAGGCTGGAGAAGAAATGAATTTGTTTTAAAAGCATACACATGTATTTTAAAGGGGCAATAATGACTGTAGAGAAAATAGGAAAGTTTTTTCATTTTTTCTGAGCTATCAAGGCAACATTTTGTTTAACATCTTCTTTGACATACCTATTTTCTTAAAATGTATGGATAAATTATCAATTTCAGCATTAAGAAGTGTAAATTCAGTTCAAAGCTTCAAAAAGGGGACTTCCACTTTTATATTTTTAAGATCCACCATGTTTTAAGAGGAATATCAGCTAAAATAATGTTTATCTAGGGGGTTTCTTTGTAGATAATAAAAATAGATGTTAGTCTTGATGAAATATCCAAACTTAAACATATTTTGACACTGGTCCATGGTCGTTGAATGACCCCTCTGCACTAATTATTGCACCTTTAAGCGTGTACTATTCAACAACTGAATGAAAACAATGTATAATATCAAGTTAGGAAAGTCTCATGACGCAAGTTTTAACTGATTGGTAAAATTAGGTAGAAAGGGCTAATGTTTGCAAAATCGATGATCTCCAGGTGTCTGATGGGGCCTAACGACTGCAGAAGTCAAGAATCTGTTGTCAAAGCAACTCATCTTAACAAAATGACTGAACCTCCATCACATGTTTCTTCCTCTTAGTCAACTGTATGCATCCATATTTAAACTAGCTTTTATACCACCTGTCAACAGTCTTTTAGGGATAAACTATGAGTATTGGGTTTAAGGTTTTAAACTTCAGTGCACTGCATGTTATCGGGCATATACAGTTTAACTTTTGATTTCTTTTGTGTTTACTATTCTATTGAATGAGAGAATGGGGTCAATCATTTCATCACGAAAAAGAACAATAATCCCATGCGGTGCACATTACATGGTCACACGTTTTCAACAAAAATTGCTCATCCAAGCGCACTTACACCGCTGTATGATTTTGTGACCAAAACGGTTCGTTTTGGTAACCAGCGTAATCGAGCGGATCGCCAGTGTACAACATATATTTTAAAAAAGTAATCGAATTGAAAGGGGAATGAGTTTTTGTGAACAAAGTCAATGTTCCAACCGGGGCATAATCGAGATCAATGCAGTAGCTCTGTACTAAGTGTTTCGTTAGTGCTAGGCACAAAAACTTTCGAACCCCTCACTCCCTTCGGTCGTTCGGGGTGCAGAAAACGTTTGTGCCAAGCCCTGCGGGGTGTATTCGAAAAAAGTAGCCCTGCTCTTCGGTCTATATTTCTTAAATATATTTTTAGAGTATAGCACAAACAAAAATTATTTCAATTCATAATCTTTATTTATGTTGAATATTTCAGTATTCAAAACTAAGTCCATTGGCCAATCTTCATTTACATATTTTAAAGTTACTAAACACTGCATTTTGTACAATAAATTGATGATAGGTTAACAATAGAGTACTTTCGTAAATCCCTTTTAACATGTTTATATATAATGGACCTATATATGTTTATAAATCACTTAAAAGGATTGCGAAGTACGTCATCATTTTTGCATAATTTTATGCGCAAATGTAAAATGTAAAAGGTCAACTTCAGCCATTGCCTCACCTTAAACAGGGCAATTTCAAATGTAGAAGGGTAATAACAACTATCTTACAATTTCCAAGAATATATACTTGTTTTCAATAGACTAGATGCGAGTAGAAATAATTTTAATGAGCATCATTAAATATTTGAAATTCAGTGTCATGTTTAAATATACAAGTTCATGTACAGTATCTACAACAAATGAAACGTATGAAGAAAATATTAATTGTATCTCTGTACATCAGTCAGGTGAACTCCTTAACAGTCAAGATGACATAATTCTAGAATTTCTCATTTAAAGACGCCCTGATGTTTTGCGTACAATCTATGATGTCACATTTATAAGGTTGCTTAACATATTTGCAACATACATCTAGCAACGGATGTATGCTGAATTGGCGCACGGCATGGTAGAATATGTTGGGTCTTCTGGGATTTTTTTGAAACCAATAAGCTTCTAATATATGAGATCTATTAAAAAAGGCGCAACGCCACCAAAGTGCAATTGTTAACTTTCGCTTGAAAAAATAAATCTTCAAGATTTGGGGAATTTTCTTGCAGAAATCACAACATCTTCCCTCCGTCCCATATTTCAGATCACCGGGTGTAAAATATGGAGTGGCTATTCTGTGTTCTAGTTTGGCAGGAATTGAAGAAGAATGAAGAACTGGCTATTTGTGGATTGTGCATCAATCGTGGGGAAGATAGCTAAACATTGGAACACTGGAACAAACTTTCGGCGAGTGCGCTTACAAGTCGTGTGGAGTTTGGGAAGGTTATTTTCAAGATAGAACGATGTGGATGAGTATAAGAATGCATTTGAACCCCGAACGATATAGACTAACAGAAACAGTGGCGATGTCTCATCATGAGAAATCATGGTATTCTATTTGCTTTTCTATAGATTCTTATTTCTAGTTGAAGGCAGGAATAAGTGATGAGTATCAGAATGGCGATGTCTATCTTCACATCAATCTAGTATATAACCAATACTACTATGATGATTTTCAAATGTTCATTCACAAGTCCCTGGTACGATGTTTCTAGTACATGATATACTGAAGGCCTGTCGTCCTATTTTAACTCAAATAAGGTGTAATCAAGTGATCAGTCCAAACCATATTCCATTCGAAATATTGATTATATACTATTAGACAATCCTAGTATATGCAAGCTCTATTTATTTCTTTTTCTTAACATCTTTGTAACAGCTACATCCGGATGGGACACGTACGAATGTCCAACGTATACCACCCGTGCAGAAAAGTGGTATCCAATGGTTCCCATACGTCTGGATACACACAGGAATCGTGGCATTCTTATCGTTGCTACTACATTGGTCACAACTCCTCATGGTATGTCTGGAATATACGTGTAACAATATATAGTGTTATATTAGTGGATGGATCACTTGTCAAAACCTTTTTAGGCGATTTACAAGATCATCTTTGTCATAAATTTCCAAATTTTATGTATGGCAAAGTAAATTTTCATGTTAAACGTTCGTCATGTTATAATCGGCCTGAATCTTAGGAGAAGGGATATAAAATGCTATATGTAAAATCGATTACGCATTGTTTGTCGATATGAATCGCAAAGAAACCATAAAGCATAAGGAATTACTAAGACATTGATGCAGTTCAAAGATAAATGGTCGGGAGTGGCCGGTGTTGCCCGAATGTACTTACTTGCACTCAATTTGTGTTAGTACGACAAGTGGCAAACAAGCAGACGAAGGCATTTCTCTCGACGCCACTGTGTAGAAACTGCTCAAAACTTCGCATGTTGGTTTCGCTTCTTTGGGTGCATCAGTGTCTATTCTAAGGATAGATTAACATAAACTTTTCAGACATATTTAGCTAAACTAACATATTAAATGTTCTTTTATTGTGCGATTAATAAGACACAGGGCCGTCAGATGGGGGGGTGCGATGGGTGCGACCGCACCCCCCTTTGTCACCCCCCAAAATAAATTTGAAAAAAAATTGAAAAAAATTCTTTTTTTGAAAAATATTTTTTTTGTAGTTTTTTTTCATTGACTCATACACTTTGAAAGTACCCACAAAGCACCAAATAGCATCTTAAAATTGTAAAATTTTCTAGGGGTATTGGCCACCCCTCACACCCCCCACAAAACAATGGAAAAGTTCTAAATTTATTTTAGTGTTTTGTCTCAGACACTTTTAAAGTGCCCAGACATCATCAAATAGCTCCTTGATATAGTTAGTGTTTTTGGGGGACTTGCTCCCCCTCTTGCATCTTGCACTTTCATAGACCCCCCCCCCCCCCTCTGGCGCCCCCCCCCCCCCTTGACCCCCCCCCCCCCCCCCAAAAAAAAAAATTGTGATTTTCTCAAATTCTTTAATTGACTCATACACTTTGAAAAGTGCCCAGAAAGCACCAAATAGCGTTGTAAAATTGTAAAATTTTCTAGGGGGAGTGGGCCACCCCTCACACCCCAAACAAAACAATGGAAAAGTTCTGAATTTGTTTTATGTACTGTCTCAGACACTTTTAAATTGCCTAGACATCATCATCATCCTTGATAAAGTTAATGATTCTGGAAGACAAACACTTACTCGCCCTCTGGCATCCCCACTCCACCTCCCCCTCTGGCAGCCCCCCCCCCCAAAAAAAAAATTTCTAATTTTTTTTATTGACTTTATTGACTAAAGTGCCCAGAAAGCACCAAATAGCATCTTAAAATTGTAAAATTTTCTTGGGAAATAGGCACTTTTAGGCACAGACACTTTTAAAGTGCCCAAACTTCATCGAATAGCACCTTGATATTGTAAATTTTGATATGGGGGACAAACACTTGCTCCCCCTCTGGCACCCCAGCCCCACCTCCCCCTCTGGCACCCCCCCCCCCCCCTTTGACACCCCCAAAACTTGAAAAAAATTGTGATTATTTTTCAATGTTTTTATTGACTAATACACTTTAAAAGTGCCCAGAAGCACCAAATATCATCTTTAAATTGTAAAATTTTCTAGGAGAGTTAGCCACCCCTCACCCACAAAACAAAAGAAAATATTCTGAATTTCATGTATTGTCTCAGACATTTTTTAAGTGCCCAGACATCATCAAATAGCACCTTGATATAGTCAATGTTTATGGGGGACAACCCCATGCTCCATTACTGGCACCACATCCCACTTCACCCTCTCATCCACTTTGACACCCCCAAAAGAATTTGAAAAAATACACATTTTTTCTTATTGACTCATAACACACAGGCGTACCAGATGGTTGCAAATTCGCTCCAAATACAACCAAATTTCAAAATTTTCCTGGGGGTGACCCCCCTTAATGCTCGGTTTTTTATTCACTCAACTCTTATTCCCATGGTGGTGGCTTACTACTTGGAAACATACACTTTGAAAGTGCCCAGAAAGCACCAAATAGCATCTCAAAACTGTAAAATGTTCTAGGGGGAGTGGACCACTCCTCACACCCCCCACAAAACAATTGGAACTTTTGGAAGTTGCATTTGTTAATTCCAAACCAATAAAGGGAGTAACTGAGCCCCCCTCCCCCCCCCCCCTCTGACTTACGCGATTTGATTTTCGCGGCCAAAAAATTGACAATTTTATATTCTCTTTAGTAAGCTAAAAACCGCACCCCCCTTGGAGAAAAGTGTCTTACGGGCCTGAGACATAGCTTTTCATTTTGAAGTAAATGGCGCAAACATGGATAAGGTGGAGGATCAAAACGATGGCACAGCCGCGGACTGCGACTCGCGTTCCAACTGTTCAACGCGTGTGGTTCAGCGCCAAAATGGAGGGGACATCCGGCATTGCCTTCCACCTCGATGGACAAAATTGAGAAATCCAAGTATTTCAACTGCTATGTTAGTGTCTATTCTCTGTATCCATTGTTGTTATGTTGATAACAAGAAAATAAGCCATTGTATAAGATTAAGCTGAAACAGTAGCAAAATTCTGATTTTACTTGTACATATAATTCATCTTAGCATACATTTGAAAAGATTTTCAACGAGTTTCTGAATATCTATACTCAAGTATGAGCTGTGAGCATGGTATGATAACAGAATGTTTTTATGAGGAGAAAATTAGATTCAAACTGCGCATTCACGGTGGACACAATCCAGTTAAGCCCAGTTAATAAGGTTAGTTTAACAACCCAACACAGCATCCATTGGTATTCTATGCAACGCAGTCTAGCTGCAAATACACAAAAATGTAATTATAGTGTCCATGCTCTTATTGTTTCGGAAAAAGATAATCCTCCAGACTTTTTAAGGAGAAGTGAAACATGCAGCAAAAGCCAAGCAACATCTCATTTATCTTCTACAGAACCACCCAGACATATATCACTTCACCAAATCAACCTTCTCCATCTGACCAATTAAATCAAAAATCCATCCACCCCATTCGGTCATGCCATGGTGTGATCTCGTATTTGGACAAAATTTGCTTCATTTCGGTCACAATTACACAAATCGTCCTATCTGACGGACTGCGTTGGGCAGATAGATGGACTGCGGCCATTCTGAACTCCAATTTTCTCAGCAATGGTACGTTTTCCGCTAACCAAAGATCACACGAAGATGTAATTGTGCCAACAATACTTGAATCTTTATAATAATGCAATGAATCTGGTTCTTCCTTGTTAAAATCATCGGTATATTTGGGACAACATTTGACAAAATTAAATTTTCTGGCAGATTTCGAAATTGTGTGCCTTCATGCTAATTGCTATTGGACAAATGAGCAACAAGAATGCTAATGCAGGTGGAGTGTATGTATGTGGATAACCGAATGGGACATACCTGCTCTTGTGTAATTTATCCAGTAATTATTTACCCCAAATCATAAAATGTTCTCCAAATTAAGTTTGGATTTACCGCCTGTGTACATCAACCTCGTTTTGAATTATGCGAGTCGCAGTCCGCGCGCGGTTGTGCCATCGTTTTGATTCATACCGTGATAGAAATACAAATAAATACTCAAAATCAACTTTTGTTTCTCGAAATGTGAAAATGGTTTTCTTGAAAGCTTGAGTTATACCATGGGCTTTCAACAGATTACCGCTGATAAAAATTAAATCTTGTTTTTGTAGTTTTGAAGCATATTTGAACCAAAAATAGTTTGTGATTGAGGGACAAAACGTGTCCCTATGAGCAATGAAAAGTTGAGCTTTTGGTCATGTTTCATAGTCTACATTTTTCAAAATCAAACTAAAATCAAATTAAATGAAATAGATCGCAAAATATCGAGAAGAACTAGTAGCGGGCTACTTACAACAGTGCGTCCCTATTATAGTTGTTTGGTCCACTAAACCCATAGCCAGTATACGCGTCCATTGTTCCGACCAAGGCAAGAGCCGCCACGATTGCTATCTGTTGATATAAGCATTATATTAGCAACTTATGTGACTTATGAAACATATAAACACAATAGAACAGGTCGGATTTTTAACATTGGAGGTTTTTAAATGTGCTGTAGTTTAACACTCGGGGAAATGTACAATTATTTGAAAAATCGAAACTATTACGAGCGATCAATTAAGTTGATTAAATACTAGCTCAGCATAAACACTCAATTGTCCACCATTTAAAAAGTCAGAGAGTCTTTATACAGAGCTAGTATAGTATTTGTAAACTTTAAGTTTAGGTAAAATAGTTACATTAGAATTGGTGCAATTATTTTTTGAAATTCAATTTGTTAAATAATATATTGTATATATTTATGAGAACTATTATATATTGTATATATTTATGAGAACTATTATATATTGTATATATTTATGAAAACTATTATATATTGTATATATTTATGAGAACTATTATATATTGAATACATCTCTGAGACCTATTATATATTGAATACATCTCTGAGACCTATTATATATTGAATATATTTCTGATAGCTATAATATATTGAATATATTAATGATATATACAAACAGTCAAAGGTACATAAATCATAGAAGAATAAATGTGTGCCAAACTATAAACAGTGTCTTTCAATCGGTAGACAAATACACTCCTCTCCACAAGTTCGGCAACTAAAGGTCTACTTTTTTATGACTTATTAAAAACTTGTAAACTTGTGCAAAATTATTCTTCTAAGGTGTCTAATAAGCTCTAATAAGTATCTATGATACATTTTTGCCAGAATATTCACAATAATAATTTCGGAGGATTCTGAGTGATTTTTTCCTAGATCCCATGTAATGTTGTCTCTTTAAAAACGTTTGGTTTGTATTTCTTGATCAAGCTGTGAAAGAAAAATTTGAAAAATCTCCATTCAACCAAATTTGACACCACATTGAAATCAACGAGGTAATTGTAAATTGAATTTTCGGTAAATTGCTAATTATTTTTGAGAAGTGATATTTGATCACGGATTATCATACAATTATTCGCACATTGCATATTGGTCTTTCAGTACCTCTAACACATGTAATTAAAGACTTGTAGATTCTTTACAATCGGTATGTAATCTTCTCGTCTATTTTTTATATCACACATTTCGTCAACACCAGTTCAAGTTAATCACTTTATCAACGATTGTATTCTATCTGAAAATAAATTTTATTTATCTAAATGCTATTTGTTTTAAATAAATTCTGAAACATGAACTCACCGAGCACCCCCTCATTGTAATCCTTGTAGTATTTTGTTAGGAATGACTTCAGTTTAAAAAGTATTTTATAGTATATTGATTACAGGACAATAACAATATGCAAGGACATATTTTATTTTTCCGAAGAGAGTTCTCAATTTAGCATTTATGTGAAATATTACTTTCTAGAACTAACAGGTCTTGACAGGGGAAATAATGAAGGTAAATAAATCACAATTATTTCATTAAGGTTATGTAAGCAACGTCAATGCTATTGTTGATTTGATGAGGGGGTTGAACTATTCTGATTTACAAGAGGCGTGTGATAGATTTATTCAGAGTGATCCAACAAATGTGCATGCTAAAGAAAAAAACATCAACTCATCGTATTGGTCTCAAATTGAAAGTAAGGATAAAAATTAATTAATTTAGGCTAATGGCAAATTTACATTTAAAAATCGCTTTGCTGTTCTCTGGCTGTAATATCTTCTAAATTTTATAATAAAAACTAGAATAAGGTTATACATTTCAGAAATTACATAATAAGAGACGGTGTGCAATTTTATGACATAACAAATAACAGTCATATGTAAATGAACGGATAAATATTTTCACTAAACGAATGTACTGTTTAATGTTTACAATGTATAAGCGCAAATGCCAAAGGGAAGGGTGACTAAAAAGAAACCCAACAAGAAAAGCAAACTGTAAGTGTAAATCTGTCATAAGAAAAGTAGACCCTATATATCCCAAAACCATGATCTAACGTCAAAAGAAACAATGTCTAACACCCCCCTCTCCAATATATTTAACATAAATTCAGAGCGGAAATGACAAGTTTTGCGAATGTTGACCCTTTAAGACGTTTAACTCATTTATATTTCTAAATGTTACCTCTATTGGTGTCTGAATAATAAGTACGAATCCATTATGATAGGAAGAGGAAATAATCGTGTTCAGACGGAAGAATTGTCACATCAATTAAAATAAGAAAGACATAAAGTATAAATACTGTCTTTATACGAATTTTGTGATACATTGGCGTAGTTTGAAAAACACCTCAGTCATGGCGACGTACACTTATTTGGTAAGAAAACTAAGAAATACATAATTACGTAAATTGTTGTTTGAAGTAAGTTTTTATTGATCAATTAATATGTAATTCGATGATTAAACTGTAAAATTCTTTATGATCAAAGTATAACATTTAAGATCACAGATATCTCTTTTCCAATTCCATTCTTAGCTCTCGATTCATATTTTTAGTCCATGTTTTCCAGGCAACCAAATAGTCGATGTTCTGCTTTCGCTCTATACTTTTCATCAGTTACTGGACATAATCGCGACCATTTACAATGGCAAAGGCAAGTGTCGGTTTTATTTTTTCATTTATCGAAATACAACATTTTCTCATGTGCAGACGCACGTGTAGACGTTAGTGCTGCTTTAGATTTTGATCAGCATTAATGTCAGGGAATAAAGTTGGACAAATGGCTCCCATTGACTCGTTAAAACTTACATATGCACAAAGGAAAAAGATACCGACTAGTATCCGAAAACCACGCGTCGTTGGGATGTTTCATGCAATCAATGTTAGCATTCCTTGCATTTTCTTTTATCTTGTGAAATAACAAGTTTTGGTATTGGTTAACACCAGAAATTAACATAATAATTTTCGAAGCACTCGTAGTATTTAGAGATGTGAAATTCGTCTAGTCAAAGAAAGATAGATCTAGAGTCATAAAATAAAGCCAGAATGGTTCATTTTAGTTTTTATTGTTTGTCAAAATAGCGCCATTTAAAGGCCCGCTCATGTTGGGGATTTGCCAAATGGAATTCTGTGTTTCATTTCATTTATTCAACTGATCACATTATATTGTTAATCTTTCTGTGTTTGATTTTATTTATTCAGTATGAGTACTACTTCTTTAGTTAACGAAGATAAACAATTTTGCAATTCTGGCCTTCTTTTATGACTATACAAATGTTAGATCTTTAAGGCATGTAGGCCTACGAGTGCATTAATGCATTAACAATTCAGCATATACGGAGATTGAATAATCTTAACATCTCAAAAGTTGAACCCTTCAAAGACTGTATCACGTCCCACGTACGTGGGTTCGTGGGTACGAGGTACGAGGTTTTTTATACGTAGCCTTCCTTTTCTTGGTTTCTGTATTTCATATTTTTGCCAAAACTGTTTTTCCCACTTTTCTCTCCCCAACTTCTCATTCGCTTTTCTTCTTCGGAACATTCTCAAGTCCAGAGCAAATAGGATATAACATGTACTATTTACTTGAACTCTCATAATTGCAATAAATGTTCGATAATAAGCTGAGGACCCATAGAAAACATAGCTGTCGAGTTACGAAACAACATAAATTCTTTTTCCAGTTAGCTTTGCTCGCCATAATTGCTATCACATTGAGAAACCACCTTTGTCTGGGGCAGACGACGAGAATACCCAAAGTGAAAGTAAAGCCTGGTAATTTCAATCGAGATACGTAAGTGTGAAAATCCTTTGTAATAGGTTGGTTAAGTTACACGTTTTTAAGAGAACCTGTATGTGCAAAATATCTCTATTATATAAAGCTTGTAAAAGTTTGAATCTTACTTTTGTTTCTTGGGTGCACAATTCGGAAATTCGGGAAAAAATTTTAATCGCCAAACATAAACAAGCTTTAATACCTGTTCGTGATCCAAAAGAGAATTTCAAGTTGCCAAATATATGAAGTGTTTTTAGTTTTTAGTCACACTTGGTTGTCAACATTTCACTTTTGAAACATCAAGACTGTTTTTTGTATGCCCGCGGTGCTAGTGAATTGCGTAATCTTTTAAGGAGGTTTCTCCACAGGTATCACTTATTGAACACTAGCTACGTGCAGACGCGGTTGACAGACGCGAGCAGCCAACAAGGTTGCCACAGCATAATTAGCAGTTTGGGTGCGCTTGGATGAACTGCTTTTGTTGAAAACGTATGAGCATGTAATGTGCAACGCATGAGCTCATTGTTCTTTTTAATGAAACCTAGGGGGGAAACTTATTAAATGTTTAAGAAATTTAGACTGAAGAGCAGGGCTACTATTTTCGAATACACCCCGCAGGGCTTGGCACAAACGTTTTCTGTACCCCGAACGACCGAAGGGAGTCTATAATACGATTCGAACATGAAAACTCACCAGAATGTTGCAAAATCGTCAATTTCGATGTTCATTTCCACTTTTTTCATTTCTACTTCCGGTTGAGCTTTTGCACAGAACGAAACACTTAGTAAAGAGCCAGGGCATTGATCTCGAATATGCCCTGGATGAAACATTGACTTGTTCACAGTTTACAGAAGGCGTGAATACAGTCATGTTCGAATATGCAATATTCTTGCGCCGCGGGCAGTTCAAAAACGCAGTCCAAGTATCATTGTAATTAACCTATAACAAACTGAGATTATTACGGGGGCCCAGTTGAACCTTGCCTTTGACCTTTTGTTTTTTATTCAGATTATCTTGACCTTGACACTGTGGCTAGTCGATCTATGTGGATGCAGTCAGGCACATGTAATGTTTCGTGAGTACCCGCCTCTGTACACTTCAATGGAAGAATTTTGCACTTCTGTTTCAATAATCTATATTTACTCATCCGTGTATATCATACTTCATTGATTTACAAAACCAAAGCTACGCTATAAACACACATTCTCTGATATTTTTACGGAGAATAGATAACTCAAACGAGTTCACTCGACCAGTTTTATCATCTCGCTCATAGCTGTGAGAAGGTATGTATAAGTTGCCATAGGTTTACCTTGTAATGGGGAATAAAAAATTCAAGTAATATAATATTTTACATACACAAATATGTCTGTGTGAAGTAAAATACAAATACAATGCGTTCTATAATATTTTAGGAGTTATGGTATGAAATATCAGCTTTAAAAAAGCAATTTAATTATGATGTATCATGTGGATTAGTAGACGTTCTGATTGGATTCATTGAACAGACTGGCTAGGTTTCAATTGAATCATTTTGAATGTGTGTATTTTTAATATTTTAATCCACAGTGTCCGAAAACAATAATAATGCTATATTGGTAATTGGAAAAATTCCACTTACCACGATTTCAAAAAATTGTAAATATATAATACTATTCTTGAATGATGGTCATTTGTTTCAAGGAATCTGGAGGCTCGTTCAGCTGAGCTGACAAAATCATCAATATTTACGGATGGTCCATCTGTTGGCTGCTCATCGTCACCTTCAAAGAATGTTAATGGCTCTGAAACTGGTAGCCTTGCCCAAGTCGGTATTTATTTACTTATCTGATCTTGAATTATTACCACCTTGTACAATCCAATGTATCATCGCTGATATAATGCTAACTTATTCAGCGGTACCGAGATTCCCATAATACCTAGGCTACCTAAGGGTATCGCAAAACCATATTGATTGACAATATGGACATGGACACAACGTGTGACTTCAGGCTGATTGACCAATCAATACGTTATCAGGTTGACCTGCATAAAAAGACTACCCGTCTAGGACTTGAAATTCAATGATCTGATCGAGTGTTTCTTGAGAGTTACAATATATTATGTTATTAAATGTACATTGGAATGTAAGTAGTCATTAATACTCGTCTAAATGAAATCATGCAATTCAATGTTGATTCAAAATCAAAACTGAATTCGCGATGGAAATGCACGAAGACCTAGTCAGGCAATGTAGGGCCGTCGTTGATTTGTCAAATTTTACGGACAAAAACATTGGGTCGGTAAAGCACATGGCTTTCTCTTGGGTACAAGGCGGTCATAATAGAAATCAAGATAAGTAAAATAAACCGACTTTGGCAAGGTGATGAAACTTGATTTGTGGGCATTCCAGTGGGTCGATGGGTCTTTTGCTCTGAATTCACTTCATTAGCGTACCTAATTTCAACATTTTCATTGTCATCATTACATGTTATGGACCCGTTTTTCAAATAAACAGTATCAGCGATAAAACCATAGTTTTTGGCTCACACAGTGAGACTATGGGATCGACCAGGCGTCCGTCCGTTGGTCCGTCCGTCCGTTGGTCCGTCCATCTGTCAACATTGGTTGCACAAATTAAAACTGCTATTCGGATTGAGTCATTTCCACATTCATTTTATGCATATCCATAATGTCTATTTGACCTATCATCGCCATTTCCCAAGTTCGCCCAGTTTCCGAGAAATTGCTGATTTTTAAATTTCGAGAAAAATCGATCTGATGATAGCCTTGTAGAAAGTCAAGAGAAGTGAAGAAAATATTGAAAAAATACCAGTCCAGTCCATTTCCAGGTCCAAGTCCAGGTCCAAGTCAAGGTCCAGTTCAGGGCCAGATCTGGGTCCAGATCTGGGTGTAATCCGGTTTAAACCAGGTCAAAGGTCAAGAACTTTGTCATTTTTTCAATTTTTTCAGTCGTCCTTGAATATTTTTGCTCCGTTTTTTAATCATGTTCCTTGGAATAAAGCCAGTCCCTACAGGCAAGTTGTTTTTGATCACTCTTACCGTTTTTGAGATGTGGCATCCGAAAAGTAGGTCACAATAAAAAGTTCTTAGAATTCAATGTATAAGTTATGAAATATGTGTAAAATTGTCCAAGGAATCCGAATCTGCAAACCAGATTTTGATCCGACTTCCGGTTCGGAAGTTATTGCATTTTGGAATCTCAAAAATCGCTATTTTGGTATCCCATGTTAAGTCAATGGGGCTTGAGAAATTGTATCAATTGTAACAACACAACACTAGATACAGCTTGGATGCAGCCAACTTAATAAGAATCTACAATAGAAGCCGTCCCTCAAAACCTACTTTCCTTCAAAATTTGAACACTAAAAGGCCTAGGTCAAAATCTAGGTCAAATTCATAGTTTTTCTTTTGACTACAACAAATCATATCTGAACCAACAACAAAGGACTCATCTTTAATTGATCTCATATTTACCAATACTTTTGGTTGTAAATCAGGATATACATTCCTCTGTAGGTTCTACACTGTGTGAGCACAGGACCGTGGGTCCTTTATTTCATCTGTAATGGCATTTTCCAGTTGATGGGTTTATATATAGTATTTTCAATTTTTCATGAGGGTGCCTTTAGACTACTTGTAATGGGGTGGCTAATTACTTTACTGAATGAGGAATGTTTATCCAAACAATGGATACAAAGAAAATCTGGCCAGTTGTCCATCAGTAAATAAATCATCATGATAAAAGTATAATTTATTAAAGCATCCATTTGTTACCGTTCTGAATCCAAATGATACATAGGTGCATCCATTTTATACATATATGTTGACGTTTACGAAATGTTTTTAAAATATCTTCCCTATAACAGGAATATGGTAGCTGAAACTTTCACACATTGTCATACTATGTATATTGAATATGTGTGCAAGATTTCAAGTCACAATGTTAAGTAGAAACTCTGAGATCACTTACCTCGATTTGCTGTCATATTTTTGCAATGATCCCATTCCCTATAATGTACGCGAGTACCCACGATACATTACATATAAATGACTGCATCCACATAGATCGACTAGCCACAGTGCTTGAAGGACGAAAATGTAAAAATATAAAAACTTTGAACGTTGGGTAATCTGAAATAACCTAGCTTGTTTGGTGACCTTTAACCTTCTGATCTTTTAGGTCACTTTTGATACATCTGACATTTTGAATTCAAATAATCGATAAAGAAAAATGATTTTATTTGACATGTCGAATGTCAAATGTCACTAAATGTCAAATCCAAAATTTGAGGGAAGTAATTACTCCAAACAATTTGTAGATTTAATTACATAGAGCTTGGGATTCGTATGAATTCCGAACTCCGCTTGTTTCATATTATCTAAAGCCTGGTATACACCAATGGGGCAAGTTGGGACCTCCATAGACTTAACATTGCGTGGGACCTTTTGGGATTTTCCCCCATGAAGTCCGTGGGACTCCATGGGACTCCGTGGGATTTTGCCCCATGAAGTCCGTGGGACTCCATGGGACTCCGTGGGATTTTGCCCCATCGAGTCCCATGAGGTCCCATGAAGTCCCACGTGGGACTCGGTGGGACTCGATGGGGCAAAATTCCACGAAGTCCCATGGAGTCCCATCGAGAATGAACATGTTCATTCTTTCCATGGGGCAGCGTGGGATTTTCGATCATATGACGTGTTGTGTGAAGCCCGGCATACACCAATGGGGCACGGTGGGATTTGATGGGACTCCATGGGGCTTGATGGGTCTCCATGGGGCACGATGGGGCAAAGTCATCAAGGTCCCATGGGACTTCGTGGGATTCGATGGGGCAAATTGGGATTCGATGGGACTCGATGGGGCAAGTGGTATTTTGCCCCATTGGTGTATACCGGGCTTAAAGAACAAAAGTGGACAAATACTACGAACTTTTTCAGATTCGTTGATTCAGATGCCCCTGTTGGCTCCGATTCAACGTGTGAAATGACTACAAGTTATGCGACTATTAATTCCAAAGACCTGCCCTCGCCATCTTGTATACCACTTATTATCATCGAACAAATTGAGTGCACGTAAGTATTTCTGCAAGTAAGCAAGTACAGAAAACCTTTGTATACCATCCGAACACCTCTTTAATCCATACACCTCTCAATATGAAAACTTTTATATGTCTTTTTGGCTGGTACCAGTGGCATTTAATGCCTATCGTTTATCCTAATGATTAGGATGAGACAGGTTTGAGCGTATTCTTATCATAGATGATACATGTAGGTCGAAAGAAAAATGGCAGTGTGAAGATAGAACATGAAAGCCTGCATATACACCAAGCAGCTCTATGCCTGCTATTCAGACTTCCATTTGCTGTTGATCTCCATAGTATTTCCGATGGATTGATAGAACCGGATCTTTCAACCCGGTGTAAAAGGGTAGGAGGTCCTATCACAGTATGGTCCTACTCTCTATTGATTTATATGGTGACCTCTTTCCCTTATCATCTTATACACAATCAGGGCCAGTAAGGGCTGTTAAGAAGGGGGACCATAATCCCTGGGGGACCATCATTTCTTTCACACCGGGTCTTTCAATGGCTAACAAAAACTGCTCGAACGGGCAACACCAATTACAATTACAATTAATTATCAAAAATATTTTCGTTGGTGTCAATTTCTTTTGTCAAGTTTTTAACAATGTCCTCGATAGATGGCGTAGTTATTTGTATTGCGTAATTCATTTTTTATCAAAGTGTCAACCATATACGCCATATTTTCAATCAAAAGTCATTAAAAAACACTTGGTGAAAAGTGTGCACGCGCCACTTAGGATCTCTGGACTCTTTTCTGTGTGAGTTATTTTTCCCGCTTCAAATAAAAACCATTCAACCAACCATTTTTTGGTTTTTTGTTCCTTTTTTCTTCTGAACTACAACCAATATTTCAAAATGTCCGCTTCCATGAACATTTTGTCCAGCATACCTTTCTACATCTCTTTATTCCCGGGAAATTGTCCATAATAACGCAAATGCGAGTAGGAAGTTACCAGTTTCACCACCAGGTGGCTCGCTCGGGTCAGATAGCATGGCGGGTATAGTAGAAAGTTCCCTTTAACTTAAATTATACTCCTCAAAAAATCAAGGACCTCATAGGTTTATATGTTAACCCCCATATTTGTTTAACGACTGTTTTCTAAGCGGGGAACAACAGAAATCCCAATAAAGTAAATAAATCTGTATCTTGATTCTATTCCCTATAAAGTCCGCAACGTTACATTGGGTCAAAAAATCTGCCATTTTTGTAAAATATCATGAAATTCATCAATTTTGACATCAAATTTTGACCCAATGTAATCACAGGCTGGTATCGAAAGATTTGTCCGCTGTGACGGAGCATGCTATTTTTCATAAAAACACTAAGAATGCTTCACGATTTATTTTTTAACTCATATGTTTCGTTATATCAAAGATTATTACTTACTCCATGCAATCACACTACCCTACCTCGATAGCGCATGCGCGAATTTTTTGGCTTTCAACCACGTCGCTTTTGAGTATTTCGACTGCTTAGTCAAAAGGTTAATACATTTGGTGCTCGGAGTGAGTCAATATTGCTATTCGCTGAACTTCAGTGATGCAATAGTGAAGTCCATGTTCCAAGTTATACGATAGTTGAAGAAAGAATGTAAATAATATCGTTTTAAATTTTAAAATATTTGATATGTCATAGTACACGGTACACAGATGCAAAAGTTGATCAATACAGGGTACAAGGAATGTAAATTGCTCAATAGTACACGGAGCGAGAAAGTAAGCTGATTATACAGACATACTATGTCCCGATCTCATGTACATTTACGTTGCAAACAGTGAAAATAATGCTAAAAAGGCCGCCTGTTGATGCTTTGAGGTGTCATAAATTGTTATTAAATCCAAATAAAGTAAACAGTATTTTGTAGATTTAGACACGGGCTTTCAGGTCGTATACTAGTATGCATTTTAGTCATTAAAGAACGCTAGATTATACGTGTTACTAGGGTATCAAATTGAAATGAAATAACGAAATTAAATATGAACACGTTAATGATAAATGACTATCCGCTATCAGGATTAATGACTATCCGCTATTCAGAATAATTAAAATTGCCTGAACTACATGTAAAGAATCTTTTTATATAACCCCTTGAATGGTCTAATTCACTACCGCCCTCAAAAAAACGATCATTTAAAATATTTTGTTCAAAATACCACCATGCCACGACTTGAGAGCATTTTGTTCTTCACAATTTGCTGTAGCGCTGATATGACATCGCATTTCTCTATTATTGTAAAAAAAACTAATACCAGATCGATGAAGTCTTATATGACGTGTTGAATGTCAGATGTTTTTGGATGGTATCTGCTCCAGTGATTTTGCATTTAATCATTAAACGCTCATCACAAGACACCTCGAAACAAACATTATCCTCTTTGTGACAAGAAGAAAAATGTTTCACAATATGTTATGCCTTACGGCAAAGTAAAGATACATTTCTGGGACGACGTTTTTTACATCTTAAGATTTTAGAAAAACAATTAATTCACAAAAATACAGTTGAATAACATACTGGAAAACGTATCCACATATAACACGATGACACGCAGTTTAAATAACAGTTAACTGTTTTTTTGTTACATATCAATGTAACATTTTCGAAGGGAAACTTACATGCTCCCTGTACGTTGATAGATTTACTTAAATGTATCGTGTATTGCATTGAGTTTTGCTTCACTGCGACCACTATTATCTATCTTTGCCTATAGTGGTTTTTTGCCAACAATATTCTACAAACTGCTTGATGAATTAATTCTATGTCTGGTAGAATACTAGAAATAAATGTAAAATGCATTTTACGTTCAGAAATATGGAATTAAACCCACGTCCTCCATTTGCAACTTAGCTGTACCCTGTTTCCATTTTAAACGTGGTCACGTGGTAGGGTAGTGTGGCAATGGATATATCATTTGCGTGCAACCTTCACTTCTGTTTGAAGTCCAATAACGCTAGGAGTAAAATCTATTGAAAACGGCGCCAGAGTATCAAACTCTAAAATGTACCATTTCTTTTTTAACTTTTTAATGGCATGATATAGTGACACGATAATATTAACATATGTTTTAAGCATAACTCTGAATGTATTAATGAGATATTAATGCATTGGGTCTTTTTAATTTTTTTAATAAAAAATAATATTAATATTTTTTGTCCGCTGTGACGGAGCATTTTCACAGTTCACATTTGCAACTTTTTCCGTCACAGCGGACAAAAAATTAAACATTATTTTTTATAAAAGAATTAAAAAGACCAAATACATCAACATCTCATTTATACCTTCATAGTTATGCTGAAACCATGTGTAAATATTATCGTGTCACTATATCGTGCCATTAGAAAGTTAAACAAGAAATGGTACATTTTGAAGTATGATACTCCGGCGCCATTTTCAATAGCTTTTCTTCCCAGCGTAATTGGACTTCAAACAGAAGTGAAAGTTACCTGCAAATGATATATCCATTGCATGGAGTAAGTAATTTTGTATGGTATAACGAAACATATGAGTTAAAAAATAAATCGTGAAGTATTCTTAGTGTTTTTATGAAAAATAGCATGCTCCGTCACAGCGGACAAATATTTCGATACCAGCCTGTGGTAATGGAGATATAACATTGAAACGTTGCGGACTTTATAGTGAATAGAATCAAGATACAGATTTATTTTCTTGATTGGGATTTCTTTTGTTCCCCGCTTAGAAAACAGTCGTTAAACAAATATGGGTATTAACATGTAAACCTATGAGGTCCTTAACTTTTTTTGAGGAGTATACATTAGGTTTTAGAGGTTCAATTTTCATATAGCCCTTATGTATCGAATAGTTATGGGGTCTATGGGGAATCAACCCAAACCAGATGTCACATTTTCAAAAAATATTAAATTTTCAAAGTTGATAAACAATTTTCGAAACCATATTTTTAGATGCATTTTTACATGTAGATTTCAAATATGACATCACTTTGACTGAATTTTGAATATTTAATGACGTAAATCAAGATCGTTTCTACTCGCATCTAGTCTATTACAAGCTTGGAAATCATTCCGCTCAACAAGTGACGTCAATATAATCCCTGTTTTCATAGCAGACATTTTGAAATACTGGCCGATTTTAAGATTGAAGTGTATATCTCTGCAATTTGAGACAGTCACGGCGTTTTTGACTTGGAGAGAACTTGGGAACTATATATCACATTGGGATTCGATTTCTGCCCACCCAATGCATACGTGTATGCTTATTAGTTTCATTTTGACAAAGAAAAAATGGTGTATACTCGGATACGGGTCTATAACTAAGTTGGACTTCCATTCAGCCATTCTGATAATACACGACCTTTGAGTGAAAAAAACATGCAAATGCCAAGGAGGATTGGCTCCCAGAGTGCACCACCGATATTCTGTCCCATATATGGGTATGTCGTAATACAAAATTCGAATTCAAACAGCCGCCATTTTGTTCACTTCAACATTTAAATCGTGAATTTTGGTCTTATTTCCAAACGAAAAATTCCAAAACTCACAAGAAATGATCGAGATATTGGTTCGAATCTTTTGAACTGTTTATTTTGAATTTATAGTCGGTTTTAATTTCAGAAAATAACGACATTTCGACGTTTTCATTGTTGGAAAATATCGAGTTTCGATCCTGGGAGCCAATCCTCCTTGTGCAAATGCTAAACTTTTCAACAATCTAACAAATAAAAAGAAATCAATCGATATTTTTATTTATTTATTTTCCATTGTTTATTTCTTTTGATCTAGACGAGACAAGGCAGAATGCAACCAGTGCATGGAAAACAAAGGCAAAGATGGGCCAGTGGCAACATGTTTTCAGACCTACGGCAATCATTGGGTCCCATTACTCTGTCGAGGGGGACTACATTGGATTTTCATTAAGGTTCCTTCTGGATGCACGTGTTATGTACAACCTGCAATAGAGATAAAATGAGATAGCAATAATACAATTGCAATGAAGATAAACATGAAAAATATGTTGACACTAAAATACTATCACATTGACTCTATCGAAGATTATCAATCATTGATCTTTGATATACAGAGTGGGCCAAAATTGACCGCATATTGAAGTACTATGGTTAGTAGGCTCACGAGGGAAGGTTTCAGTCTTTTTAAAATATTTAACCGTAGAAACTTTGAATAATCAAAGTTTTCTTTGCTATGAAATTTGATTACTGTAGATTCCTCTGTACTAACCTTGAAAATAAACTAAAATTCCATAGCTTTCGGATACGACTGTACCCTTCGTCAGTGACATGTTAATGCTATTGTAGATTTCCCACCACAAAAGCTGACATTGACCTTGAACCCGACCTTGGAATCACAGTTTCCAAAAACGACTTACCTACCACCAAGTACCCCGAGTCTCTGTTAAGTGTAGGTTTATTTGGATGTGAATAGTTTTTTGATTATCTTAATTACCTTTTATTTAGAACTTCACGTCTTCAGATATCATTTTCTTTTCCCAAGCCTGGGATATCATCATATCCTTAAGCCATTATAGATATTTATTTGGCTAACATTTTTGTCACCCTTTACCTTCTATACATGTCACATTACATGCTTTGCCAAGCATTAATTTCTTAAAATGTGTTGACACCAAAACATTGCCCCGTGCAGAATTTTACTATTGCAGGCGTTTGTGTCCTGTTGGATCAATATTTTTATGACGGATTACCGGACAACGACACTTAATTTTTGAAGCAGGTTAGGGACTAAACTCATTTTGGACAGACGTCCAATTCCTTATTGCTGCTTCGGGTCTCTATACCACGGGTTGCCGTGCATGGTAACCGTAACTCTGGCATAAAGTAATATTTGTGCCTCCAATTTTGTGGAAATAATAATGAATGTTAAGTGATACTATGTACCATAAAAAAATAAAAATAAAAATAAAAAAATAAAAATAAAAAATATACTATTTACCAGGTTTGGTGCCAGCTATTGTGTGTGAGACTTTCTGAAGGTCGGTTATTATGGACATTTTAATGAGCTGGCTATCCATGAGTGTCAATATAAACAATTTTATTTAATATCAAACAGAGAATGACATAAAAAGAATTACTATTTTTTAGACATATTTATTAGCCCAGTTTTGTTATTTTGCAATTTTATTTGAATCGTGAGATATAATAGCACCAGTAATGATTAAGTATTTATGATGGAAGTCCCAGATACTAAACTATTTTTATGCGAGATCTCCTTCAAAACAATACAATGAATTCATATTTCGAGTTAATAGTTATTAGACCACTATTAGTACTACGTTTCCAATAACATTGTGATATACAAATAAATTAAATCAATGACATAGATATTTTCCATAAAACATTGAATAACATTTTAGATGATACATGAATCAACCATAGCCTGGATATGACAGGGGCTGTCCTTGAAACCAAGGCCCCAAATTAAAAAGTAATGTCAGTTTGTTATCTAAATCGCTCAGTTTATTAGGGAAGGAGCAGGTTTTTGGTCCCGAAAAAACACGGAAGGCATCGCAACAGATTTTAGACAGTCATGTGTTGGATTGTGGCTTTTTTCTGAAGATTTAAAAAGGTGCATATGTTAGACCAATGCATTTTCTAAAGGAAAATTACTCATCGAGATGATCAAATAATTTGGACTTCGAAACAGGGAATGTGCAAACACCCCAGCAACATTTCGTTACAAAATGTTTTCCTGGTTTTCATCCCCTTCCACTCGTGTTTTTCAATGTTTTATGCAACAATATGTTGCATTTGAAGATACAGTTAGAATCATTTCGTCTTTTTAAACCCTCAGAAAATAGTCACAATCCAACATATGACTGTCTAAAATTTGTTGCGATACCTTCCGTGGTCCTTCATTTTTGTTGGGGTCACTTCATGAGGAAATGGACAATTCACTCCCTATATTTATATCTCTTTCAGACACATTTCTTGGTTAACATGTCATTTATTCAGTTTTTCAGATATTTCCATATCCATATTATTGTTGTAAAATATAGAATGGCTATTCGGTAGTCCGATTAGGCAGAAAGTGGTTAAAAGGAGAATGACTGGTTGAATGTGGATCACATCAATCGCGACAAAAGCAAAATTTGTTTTGCAATAGAGCGATGGACGGTTTTCAGGAGAACTATTTGCAAAAACGAACGATGAGGTTGAGTATCAGAATGAATTTAAACCCTGAGAGACAGACACGGCAGCGATGTTTATCTTCACATCAATCCTTTAGCCACTACTATGATGATTTTCGAATGTTCATTCACAAGTCCGTGGTTAAATGTCATAATATAATGAATGTCTCTCATCCCACATTAACTCGATACATGTAAGGTGTAGTCAAGTGATTTGTCCAAACCACATTCCATTCGAAGTATTGATTATATACTATTAGACAATCCTAGTATATGCAAACTCTATTTATTTCTTTTTGTTAACATCTTTGTAACAGCTACATCCGGATGGGACACGTACGAATGTCCAACGTATGCCACCCGTGCAGAATAGTGGTACCCAATGGTTCCCATACGTCTGGATACACACCGGAATGGAGGCATCCTTGTCAACGGCACACTGACTACAACTCCTCATAGTGTGTCTGAAATATATGCCGGACAATAGTGTTGCACTCACATCCATATGCGTGACAATAGTGTTACATTTCCCTCAATATGTGTGTTAAGTCAGATTTGAACTTATGAAAACTTGTAGATGATTTTGAAAAATTGGTCAGTTTGAGGCAAGTTGAAAAAAGTCCTTTTACCTTGAGAAGGTCATTGAAGGTCAAGTCTTAAATCTTAAAATCAAATTTGATTATCTGATAACTTGTAAATAATTTTGAAAATATTGGTCAATTTGAAGCAAGTTGAAAAACTTTTGGACCTTTTTTGACCTTGAGAAGGTCAAATATCAAATCTAAAGTCAGATTTAAACTTCTGAGAACGTGTAGAAGATTTTGAAAAAAAATTGAAGCAAGTTGAAAACAGATTTTTTACCTTCCGACGGTCATTGAAGGACAAATCTCAAATGTAAAGTCAGTTTTGAACTTGTAGATGATTTTGAAAAAAAGAAATTAGGTCAATTTGAAACGAGTTGAAAAATATTTTTAGACCTTTTTGAAGGTGATTGAAGGTCAAATCTCAAATCAAAAGTCAGATTTGAACTCCTGAGAATTTGTATATCATTTTGAAAATGATTGGGTCAATTTAAAGCAAGTTGAAAAACTACTTTTTGACCTTGAGAAGGTCATTGAAGGTCAAATCTAAAATCAAAAGTCAGATCAGATTTGAACTTCCGAGAACTTTTATATTACTTTGAAAAAAGGTCAAGTTGAAAGAATAACGTTTTGACATTTTTTGACCTTGAAAGGTCGTTGAAGGTCTAATTTGGAAGTCAGATTTGAACCACTGAGAACTTGTAGATTATTTTGAAAAAAAAATTGGTAAATTAGAAGCAAGTTGAAAAATACCATTTTGGCCTTTAGAAGGACATTGAAGGTCAAAACGCAAATCTAAAGTCAGATCAGATTTGAACTTCTGAGAACTTGAAGAGTCTTTTGAAAAATAAATGTGGTCAATTTGTAGCAAGTTGAAAAAATATCTTTTTGATCTTGGGGAGGTCATTGAAGGTCAAATCTCAAATCTAAAGTCAGATCTGAACTTCTAAGAACTTGTAGATGATTTTTAATATACGTTTGAAGTCAGTCTAAACAGTATTTGTTAAGTTATTGAAAGTTGTAATAATCTGTTACTGACGCCGACCGCCAATCGCCGGACGCCAACCGCCGTCACAAAAAAATGAGACCATAACAATGTGTCACCAAACATAAGCATTAACTAATAAACTGGCACACCCTTTGAGCCGATGTAGATGATTTGATGAAAACAATACTGAAGATATATGTTTGGGAACACCTAATATGATCTGTGTATATAAAAATTTACATCACAATTATTAAGCTTCAATTGTTTGAATTTGTTTTAAGTGCATAGTGTCTTTTAAAATTTGTTCGTTATCTGACTTTGTCTAGAGAAAGGAAAATTTAACACAACATATTTAATTCTAAATGGCCTTGGAAAAATATCTTATGGAAGATTATAATAAAAAAGATTATCATAATCAACGTAAACCAGCAAATCATTTTCGTGGCCGGTGTTGCCCGAATGTACTTACTTGCACTCAATTTGTGTTAGTACGACAAGTGGCAAACAAGCAGACGAAGGCATATCTTTTGACGCTACTGTGTAGAAACTGCTCAAAACTTCGCATGTCGGTTTCGCATCTTTAGGTGCATCAGTGTCTATTCTAAGGATAGATTACATATAAGTATTGATATATTTTGTTTTGTCATTGTTCGATGAAAAAGACTCAGCTCGTCACTAAAGTAAACATGGTAAAGTGCAATCAGGAAAATACAAGTAAAGTTCTGGAAAACCTAATTAAGTTGCTATAACTGTTAAAATGATATCTGAACATTTGCCGTTTGAACCAGAATTTGGACCATGATTAAAAAAGTCAAAAAATCTTTGTCGAATCTTTTTATATTTCAGTCAATTCTAAATATGGTGAACCTCAAAAAATACCAGGTTAAAGAAGAACATATGATGTTTTAAATATCAGCACCATTGGTTAATATATTAGATGAGAACTTAAATTTTGAAATACATTTTTCTCTGGACCACATTCATGCATGGATGAGTTCATTTCTCGTTTATATTTATCAAACAATTTTTTAATTCTTTCGGCAAAAACATGTATGAATTATCGCTTACTATTAATAGATATTCATGACCTCTACAATTTAGTTTTGAATAAATTTAACAAAAACTAATTAACAAAAAGGTTGCACATTTTGATATGATTAGGTAAAATTACAATATATAAAGCCGAAGTGGTTTTAACTTTATTAGGGGGCTTTAAAGAGATGTAAAGAGAATTTTAGTGCAAAGTTATTTATGTCTCCGGATGAATAACTAAACTAAAATTAAATAAAATAGTGGAGCATTTGATATCTGCGGGAACTTGGAGGGCTACTTACAACAGCGCGTCCCTTACGGTGTTCATTGGTCCACCATTTCCAACCTTAATTCCGACTGTATACGAGTCCCTTGTTCCGACCAAGACAAGAGCCACAATTGCTATCTGTTGAAATAAGCAAATATGTAAGCAACTGTGACTTATGAAAACTATAAACACAACAAAAGAACAGGTTTTTAACATTGGGCGTTCATCTGGTTTGAAAAAAAACAGATGCTGTATAATCAGCCAGCCTACACACAACCGTATGAATTCCGCTGGTAGCTATTTCACACTACTATACCCCCGTACTGTATCCTTTATTCCTTAAAATAAATACAGGCTACAGCAAAGTTGCAAATGGTGGACGTTTGTTTATTTCAATAGTTCTGAAGGTATACTCGATTTTAAATATATTCCAAGTGTTCTACTATACATTGTACAGATTCATCAAACAGTTTGCAACTTAACTCATTCGCGCGCTCAGTCGACTTTTTTCGCCAATACGCTTCATGGCGTATGTCGACTTCAGGTCGCCAGGCTATAGGGAAGTTTTAACAGACTTAGAAAGATGTCGCCCTAGTATTGCAGTGCCAATGTTCGGTACTCACATTGTCCGGAAGTGATTTAAAATTAATTTGGCGAAGAGAAATGATTGAAAAAAAATATTTTGGTCACTTATTGCTTTATTTCGAAATAAATACGAATCTGGAAGTGATCAGACATTGTGGTATTTAAAAAGCGCTCGATTTAGACTGGGTAATGATGATCAAATCGCTGCTATATTCAGCGATTCTTGAAGTGAAGCCTAATATTTGAAGCCTCAGAAAATGAAATTTCAAAACGATGATGGGCCTGACAACTCTGTGGCTGGGGGACAGGCCAGGGAATCTGCTGGGGTACACCAAGGTAATATTTAGTAGGGTTCTTATGTTTTTTTTGTAATATACATGTTTAGGATTTTTTATCATCAGTGCCTCTCAGTGTGATGAGTTCATACATTGACATATGATTTATACATATGTTTCTAATCATGAGTAAAAATTTGGTGGTGTTATCTCTGTTGGTTTAGATTTGATGTCACTTTCAAATTGGTAGGCATGAAAATCCTAATCCTTAATAAATTAATTAACGCTCAGTAGCTTTTAAAAATAATTAAATAACGCGCCAATGAGTTAATATTACCAGAAAAGCCCAATGAACAAAGATAGAGGATACCCAATCCATTTGCAACTTAACTGTACCCTGGATCATGGTCACGTGGTAGGGTAGTGTGTATTTGCAATTATAAGATTCTCTGTTCTACATCCTGGGATTAAACCATAAAACCAGAGTATATGTAGAATCTGACAATCATACCGGGTTGAAGGCTTACAGTAGATGTTACTGAAGTTCCACAATGTAAAAGAGATATTGCACCCGATATCACGAGATATTTGATCACCCGGGTGCATTATTGCAACAAGTACATTATATAACCAAGCACATCACCAAAGGTCATCCTTCGAATGGTTTTCAAGGTGACAACTTGACTCTACAGATTGAAATTGTTGCTTTGTCAACTTGACCTTTGCAAAATATTTGCAAAGATTTAAAAACAACACTTTTGAGAGAAATGATTTAACACACAATGCAAGTGTCCAGGGCTTTAATCCTTAAAGGAACAAAATGCGCAAATGAAGTCACACTTTTGATCTCCATAGTATTTCCAATAAATTAATAAGAACCTGATCTTTCATTTGACACCAAAAACGGCTCAAACATATCACATCAGAGTTGACACTAGATCATGAAAAACTATATTTTCGATATATCAATTTATATGTTTCAAGTTTTTAGCAATGCCATTGAAAGATGGCATTATTGTATGCATTAATTATCCATTCATTTTTGATATGATTTTCAACCATACGCCATCTTTTAATCCAAGAGTTATTTAAAACATACTTTGTGAAAAGTGGTAATTCACTTCTTTTGATCTATGAACTTTAAATGCTGTTTTCTGTTCAAGCAATTTTTTCACTTCAGCATTGACCCAAATTCAAGTTTTTATCATATTTGATTGAGTGTGTGAGTAACATGTCTCAAATACTATTTTGTCCTTCTTCCTTTAAAAGTAGGTGCATTGCCTGTTTAATTATTAGTGATGAATATTCATAATCCCATGGAAAGAACAATAGACTTATGAATCAACAAATATTAAGAATGCACTTGATATGCACCCTAGTCTTCAAGATTGTGCCCCCCCCCCCCCCCTTCCTCCCTTATCTACTTCAACAACATAACACAATTAAATAAGGGGGTCCATGGTGTTGAAGCTAGACTATGTGCACTCCTGTATACGGGTGTCGACTTTTGGCTTGCAGCCGAAGATACCTCAAGAAAAGCCGGGGATTGCCGAAGATTTTATTTGCAAACGAAGTTGGCCGAGGCTACCACGAATGTGGAGAGGATGTCTTTAATTGGTCAAAAGAGAGGCTCAGCATTCTCCGTCAGGTTGAATCGGCAGAATTCGGTTGTATGGCTCACCTTGGTTGTATGGCTTACCTTCGGCTGCATGGCCCAACCTCGATTGAATGGCTGTCCCCCTGTATACTATTTAAGGCTACATGCCGGCTGACATTATCTTGTCCCTTGTCCAAATATAATTGTTCATTTTTGAATTAGTGCAAGTAATTTTCTCAATTAATTTTTTTAAATAGATTAATTGTTGAAATCTTACATTTGGATTGAATTTTTGGCGATCAATGAAATTCAATGTGAATATAAATAATACCCCTCCCCTTTTTATAAATGAGTGGTATCGATATGGGGAACTGAATTCAACAATGTTTTTCTCTTAAACCAATCATTGAAAACATTCTATAAAAACACGGTATTTTATGTAATGTTGACTGATTGACAACAATTTAATGCGAAAATTATTTAGAAATATTTTATATAACTGTTTTTGTTAACATATTTTGTTTTTTAGTGCAATTGTTTTTGCTCCTTTCTACCAAATCTTGAGAATGAAATAAAATGTCTTTCAGAGCAAAATAGCATATACAACTTGTTTTAGACCTCTCGATATTATAGTTATACAAAGGAATTTTTGGTTGATTTTAAAAATGTGTTCAAAAAATTTAAACAAAAGCCCCCCAAAATAGATAAAAATCAAGATAAAACTTTTATTTCATTAACAAGATACCTTTTTGAAATCAACCAAAATTTCCTTTGTACAATTACAATATTGAGAGACCTAAACATGTTGTGTTTATGTCGTTTTGTTCAAATGGGGTTCGGAAAGATGTTTCATTTCACACTGGAAACATGATACCAAGAACAAAACAAGTGTTTGATGTGCTTTCTAAAACGATATAGATGAAAGTATATATACAGGGTTGGCCAAAAAACGCCACTTTTTTCAAAATGCTATAACTTTTTTAATTTTTGGTACAAAATCATAATTTGCATACCAAATGAAACTTGAAGTTGTTATCTAGCCATGGATCATGAATTGTACACTTTTACTTGAATAAAATATGTCACCAGCGTCTCACTTAAATATGTGGTGTGCCATGAGAAATAAGCATAATTTGCAAAATTCCCCTGAACTGATATGGCCTGATGACTGCCAAGCTAATAGTCCTGATGCAAACCCAAGTGAGTATAGGGTATGGGAAGGTCCCCAGGAGATTGTATGAAGGCACCCAATCTAAAAAATTGCTCAACTAAAGCTGGCAATTAAGACACGTTGAAAAAAAATTAGCTAACATTCCATTGATACTGCTATATCAGCAAGGCGACTAAAACTAAAATATGTCATCAAATAGGGTGGCGCACCAATTGAACTCCTCTTTTAGATCAAATATTATCCAAGTTGAAGGACTTGTTTCATTATATTATTACTAAGAACCCCTGGCACTATATAAGTGCAAAGTTTGGAGTATGTAGGTTGGAAAATAAAAAAGTTATAGTGTCTTGAAAAAAAAGTGGCGTTTTTTTGGCCCACCCTGTATATATATTTTTTTCAATTTTTTTATTTTTTATTTATATGATATAGACAGTACAATATAGTGCTGCGGCTAGGCTTAAAAACAGTATTAGCCACATCTAGAATACTTATATAAGGGGTAAACATAAAGATTGTAAGCCTAACTGGGAAAAGCCTTAAACTGCCTGGGGTCTTTCGAAACACTGTCTGATAAACATAGCACTGGATGCAAGTATTTCATGGTTCTTACTAAGAGAAAGAGATTGGTGACCGAAGATAAAAAAAAAGTCAAGTTTTTCTTGTCTATTTTTGCATAAATGCCTGTAGTTCGGAAGTAAATCAAAAAGCTTCTGTTCAAAGCTTATGTAGAATGGTTGTCTAATAAGACAAGAAAATGTTACATGTTTTGTTGTTTCACTTTTGTCACCACATATACATTCAGGTGAATTTACGACAAAGTTATGGGCATGAAGGTGAGCATTAAATATGAGGTCAACTCTTATTCTATTCAAATATATCTCTTCAGCCCTATTAATGCCCAACTCTGAGGCCAATATATATAGGTTATTTACTGGGAGGGATTGAATATGGGTTTTATTCCGAGGGACAATATGATATTGACCGAAGGGTAATATGATATTGACCGAGGGAGCGCAGCGACCGGGTGTCAATATCATATAACCCAAGGTCAATATCATATTTTCCGAGGAATAAAACCCATATTCAATCCCGACCAGAAATAACCTATTTATTCCATAATACACCCCTCTAAAATGCTACATTTGGATAATGCAAAAAACGGGAAAAAATAACCGGGAAACCGAAAATAGGTTAATATGCTCCGATACGTTTTTTTTCCCGGGGACAATACGATTTTTTCATGTAATACGCTCTAATACGATTTTTTTCCCGGGGACAATACGATTTTTTCATGTAATACGATTCAATACAATTTTTATTCCTTCATATTTCCCTGGGAAAACAGTAGTATTATGGAATAAAATATCATTATCTAAGAACACTTGACTAATATTATTCTTAAAAGTCTTGATTGTATCACAGTTTCTAATCTTGGAGCTCAATCCGTTGAACTCAGTCATGCACAAGAAGGTGGGAGATCTAGAGCGTATTCTTGAGCGACGTAGTGGAACTTGAAAAGGTATTACATTATGAATATCTCTGATATTTGGCTTTTTGTATTTGTCAAAAATTGTTGAAACATAATGAGGTACATTTCCACATTGCACTTTGAACATAAATGTAAGTCTATGTATCTTTCTACGAATCTCCAATGTTGGCCAATTCAATACATGAAACAGTTTAGTAGACGAGGTTCCAGCAATTGTACCTGCACATATTGTTGCAGCTTTATAATAAAGCCTATCTAGACTCTTCAGAGTTGTTAGGTTTGCACATCCGTACAAAATGTCATAAAAATCAAAATGAGGCAGAATATAAGAGTTGAACATAAGCTTTAGATGTTTACCACCCAATTTTCTTGATATACTTTTCAAGTAGTTTAACAACTTATCAATTGTATTAGCTGATTGGATAGCATGTGGTTCAAAGGTAAGCTGGCTATCAAAAACTAAACCAAGATGCTTGTGGTTATTTACCTTTGGAATAATGTCACCACCCAAAGACAAAGAAGGAGTAAGCAATTCTGCTTTCCTAGGGTCAAAGAAATTTAACTCAGCACTTTTACTCGCTTTGAACTTTAATTTCCATTTGTCAGACCAATTGTAAATTGCATCTAGATCATTTTGTAATTCAGTCATATTTATATCCATATCATCAGCTTGAAATGGCTGGTAAATGGACGTATCGTCCGCATAGAGATAACATCTAGAGTTAATATGGTCAGTTATGTCATTGATATAGATAAGAAAAAGAAGTGGGCCTAACATTGATCCTTGAGGAACTCCAGAGTGAATGTAACTTTCTTTGGACCATTCAGAACTTTGACCATCGATGACAACTTTGACCCTGCGATTAGTTAAGTATGATCTCAACAAAGAGCATACATCAGGACCGAAACCATAACTAGGAAGTTTATTCAAAAGAAGGATGTAAGGAATTGTGTCAAACGCGGCCGGGATGTCCAAAAATGCCACTTTTACATTAAATCCTGCATCTAAATGCTCAGTCAAGTAATCAATTATTGTCAGTAACTGAAATTGAGTACTGTGGCCAGGTAAAAACCCACTTTGTAGATTATATAATATATTCTGATCCACAAGAAATTAAAAAACCTTATTAAATATAATTCTCTCAGTAACTTTTCAAAGACAGCTCAAAAGTGTAATTGGCCTATAATTTGATGGAGTACTTTTGTCACTTTTCTTATGAATGGGAACAATGTTACCAAGTTTCCAGCATTTGTCACAAAAATCTTGTTGATAAGTTTAGATAATGGTTGAGAGAGAGCAGGAGCTGCCAGATTTGGCATTTTATTACTAATTTGTCAAATTATATTGTTACCATTCAAAGGATGGCCATTAAATTGACGATGTGTAAAATTTTAAGATTTTTTTTATAACTGGTTTAAGAGAAACGTGTGTTCAAAAAGTTCTCCATATCGATACCACTCCTTTGGCATTTGGAAGTTTCCATTGGATAACATATTAATACTGTTTATGTTTGCGTCTTAATTTTGTTCCTTAATTATAAGAGTTGGGAAATGTGCATCCAAAAAGAAAGAATATATTCTGGATTTTGAAGCCCTGTGATCGGAGGATGGGAAACATTTCACAAAAATTAGTACTTTCTTAACAAAGTTTAATTATGTGAACGTATGCAAACATGATTGTTCCAAGATGTCCGACTCTACTTAATTTCAATGATACATTCTATAGAATAGTCTCAATAATTTCTGATGATTCTGATGGATTAATTCCTTGGAAATGAAACATTGTTGTAAGGACGAACAAATAAGATCTCAAACATTTATATATCGCACATTTTGCCATCAACACCAGTTCAAACCAATCACTGTATTTAACAACTTACATTTTATATACTTAAATGCTATTTTCTCAATAAATTCTGAAACATGGACTCACCGAGCACCCCCTCATTGTAATCCTTGTTGTGTTTTGTTAGGAATGACTCCAGATAAAAATGTATTTTATAGTATATTGATACTAAGACAATGAAAATAATATTATGTAAGGACGTATTTTATTTTTCCGAAGAGAGTTCTCAATTTAGCATTTATGTGAAATATTACTTTTTAGAACTACCAGGTCTTGACAGGGGAAATAATGAAGGTTCATAACTCATAGCAATTATTTCATTAAGGTTATGTGAGCAACGTCAATACTATCAATGAGATTGGATGAGGAGGTTGATTTACCAGTGGCGTGGGACAGATTTATTCAGAGTGGCCCAACATATGTGCATGTAAAAGAAAGAAAAATTCGACGCGCATGAACATTTTGGTAACAAATTGAAAGTCTGGCTAAAAGTAAATAGAGTTTTATTTGATAGCAGTATTGCACTGAACTGTTGGACTGACTGAACTGTTGCTGTGATAATTTTTATCAGAATTATAAATGCAATAGCATTTTTTTGACATAACAAGTAACAGTTACATGTGCATGCACGGATATCTATTTTTACATATGGGTTGAACATAAAAAAAAGGTTTCAGATCGGAAATGATTTTTTCTTGGCGAATGATGACCCTTTAAGAAGTTTAACTCATCCAGTAATATACTGTTTTTAAAATGTTACTTCTGTTCGTGTCTGAGTAATAAATTTGAATCATTGATGAGAGGATTATGCAATAACGCTGTTCAGACGGAAGAATTGTTACATTAATTAAATAAAAGAACGACATAAAGTATAAATACTGTATTTATGCGAATTTTGTGTTACATTGACGTAGTTTGAGAAACACCTCAGCCATGGCGACGTACACTTATTTGGTAAGAAAACTATGAAATACATAATTATGTAAATTGTTTGATGTAGGTTTTTATTGATCAATTTGTGAATATGTAATTATTGTGATTAAACTGTAAAAACGTAAGAAATTTATGATCACATTTTCTTTTCCATTCTAAGCTCAATTCACATTTTAATTTAAGTCCATGATTTCCAGGCAAACTCTTTCTAACAAATAATCGATGTTCTTCATTCGTTTTTAATATACTCTTCGTCGAAGTTTATAAATAGTTACTTGGCATTATCAGGATACATTTACAGCCGTTAGCTATTAGTATATTTCAAGATGGCGAGTGGTATGTGTCGGTTTTAGTTTCTATTGGTCGAAACACAACCTTTCCACATGTTTAGACGTTAGTGTTGATTTTAGATTTTGATCACATCGGGGTTATGTCATAGAATAGACTTGAAGAAATGGATTAGAATCTCTCATTAATTACCCACCAGGGCAAAAGGTACATATTCTCCGGAACGCATTCAGTGATCATTCGTTCAGTCATCTCACATATAATGTCATTTAAAGAAGCTGATTTGTAATTTGCAATTTTATTTACCATTTCACTTTTAACTTTAAACTCTTGCACCAGGTCATGGGCTTTCAACTAGACTTAGGTCAAGAAGAACACTAACTGCAAAGGATTAAAAAATCTGCCAAATGGTAATATTTGAGATCATGGTCATATAACAGTATACTCAGCCGAGATTTACTGTCCGCCATTTTGAAGGAGAATTGCTCAGTCTGAAATGGTCGGCCGTAGGTATATCTGAGTTTCGTTGTTTGACGTTGTTTGACGATGTTCCAGCCTCGAAAACTATAAATCAAATTATTTTAAGAAACAAATACACCAACGGGGTGTAATTCTATGTGCAAATACACGATATCAACAAAGTATGAGATCTTCATGAATACAAAATACGGATTGAATCCCAATAATGTTTCCATAATACAAGAATATCAGATCATTTTGAGTGATATAATTCAAGTCGAGAAAAAAAGATATCGCTCAAAATGATCTGGTTATTCGGTTTCTATCCCAGGGTTCCAAGTGGATTTTCGACCTTGAATTTTGATCGATTAAAAATGTCGTCATTTTTTACATTATAACTGACTATAAATTCATAATCAGAGATTCAAAAGATTTGAACTAATATCTTAATCGCCTCTTGTATGTTTTGAATTTTTTGTCTGAATATAAGGCCAAAACTCGGGATTCAAATTTTGAAGTGAAAAAATGACAGCTGTTTGATTTTAAGTAATAACAACATGACACCATATATGCCAGTATATCGAGTTGGAACCTTGAAGGGCAATCCTTGTCTTCGATATGTTCGATAAATAAGATAAGCACACATAGCAGGCATAGCTGTCAAATCGTGGCACAATGTAAATTATTTTTTCCAGATAGCTTCGCTCGCCATAATGGCTATTACATTGCGAGACCACCTTTGTCTGGGGCAGGCCAAACCCAAAGGATCGAAAGGACCCAAAGGACCAATAAATTTTAATCGAGACACGTGAGTGTGAAAAATCCTTTACAATGATGCACTATTCTCACTTTATACGTATAACTTATCTTTTAGTCAAAGAATGTCTTCATTTCACTTTCGAAATATTTTTTAAATGGCACTGTCATATTACTTTGACATTGACCTCTTAAATTGTATTTTCATATTACCTTGACCTTGACCTTTTAGATTGTATCTAAAAACGTTAATCTCGATTTTAAGCAAAATAGAAGCCAATCATTCCAATATCATTCCAAAAATTCCGGAAACAGTGAATTACTAAATCTATTACAAACGGAGATATATACTAGTAGTCAAGAACTTTGAGATATATGATACAACCTCGTTTGCTGACTTCTAACATCCTGATCTTTTTAGGTTCTTTTCAATACATTTCATGAAAAGCCTAACCAAAAAGAAAAATGACTTTATTTGACCAGTTGAATGTCACTAGATGTCAAATCAAGAAATTGAAGTCAGATGAGACCTCCCAAGAACTAATAATGTAAAGAATTTGTATGAATTTCGTATTCCACTTGTTTCGTATTATTTGTGAACAAAAGTGGATAAACACTATGAACTTTTTCAGGTTCGTTGATTCAGATGCACCTGTTGGCTCCGATTCTACGTGTGAAATGATAACAAGTTATGCGACTATTAATTCCAAAGACCTGCCCTCACCATCTTGTATACCACTTGTTATCATCGAACAAATTGAGTGCACGTAAGTGTTTTGCAATAACAGCCTGAATTAGCAAGTAGAGAGAAATCTTTATTAATGCCTGGGTCACATTTGCCCCGATTTGTTCAAAATTGTATTACAGTTTGACGAGAATACTCAATCGGCCGGGCGCCGGTCGATGATTAGGAGCAAATGTGACCCAGGCATTACGAGTTCCTCTGTAATCCGAAAACCTCTCAATGTCAAAACTTTTATATGTCCCATTTTTTAAATCTGTCATAAACTCTTTTTTTAAAAATCATCGACATTTTAACTACTATCTAATGCGACCACCCGGGCCGACCACGTTTGGCGGTCCCAGTGAGTGGCATACGCATAAGATAGGTTTTGACGTATTCTTGTCATATTAGATTGAAAGAAAGATGGCAGAATTTAGACTTACATTTGATCCTTAAAGTATTTCCAATCAGATTGATTTATAGTAATGATGATCTTTTCAATCAAAAGTGATTTTAAAATACCTTGGTTAAAAGTGTGCACGCGCTAGGAACGAGGTTACATGGAATTTGAGTAAAAACAATGTAAATGCCAACCTTGACAAATAAAAAGAAATTTATTTATTTAATTATTCATTTATTTGAACTCTATAATCAATTGATTTCTTATTTTATTAATACTACCCATCGTTTATTTCTTTTGATCTAGACAAGACAAGGCAGAATGCAACCAGTGCATGGAAAACAAAGGCAAAGATGGGCCCGTTGCAACATGTTTCCAGACCTACGGAAATCATTGGGTCCCATTACTCTGTCACGGGGGACTACATTGGATTGCCATCAAAGTCCCGTCAGGATGCACGTGTTATGTACAACCTGCAATCAAGACGAAATGAGAACGCATTATCAAGAGTTAAAAACGACATATATGTTGACATTAAAATACTATCATAAAGGGTGACACAGAAAATGACACCCACCCACATAATGTTGCATAACTGTTTTGTCCAAAATTATTCTGACTTGTTTTATTGCACATTAAAACTAGCATGCATTGTGCAACTCCGCAAGACGTTCCAGATAACTAGCTCAACTAAATGCAGATTTATGAGCGTTACAAGATATGTAGCCTATTCGTTTACAGATACACCTGGATTTTACACAAAAATGACACCCAACTTTTGTAACATAATTTCGGGAAAAGTTATAATGATTTTATCAATGTCAACTATACCATTCAGTGATTAATTGATTGGAGTTTCTTTCCCTGAAAAAGTCTTCAGCATTTACCAAGTTATGTTCCAAAAGGTATGTGGCATTTTTGTGTAGAAATCAGATGTGCCTACAAAGGGATGGGCGATATTTAGAGCAAATCTTATAGCGTTCGTAAAATTTCACCCACTTGAGCTACACATCTGAAATTTCTCGAGGTGCTTTCGCATTAGGTCTACTTTAAATGCGCCAAAGGACAAGTCTATATATTAACAAGTTATGGAACGTAAGGTGGGCGTCATTTTTGTGTCACCCTGTACATGGACTCTATCAGGGGTGGATATACAGGTTGGGCCAAAAATGACCGCATATTAATAAATATATACATAAAATGAAGTGGTGTGTTATAAACCAAAATGAAAAGAATTTAATTCCCAACAAAAACGATAGAATTGAAATCAATAATATATACATATAGGCACGGATAGTGGGAAGTCCTCCATCTAGGAGGTATATACACCAGGTTATGCGACTAAAAATTAAAAAAATATGAAAAAATATGGTCACCTGTCCTCTAGATTCAATTTTTGAATGAATCGTAGCATAATGTACAGATTATTTGATATCATGCTATTCTTGAAACATTTATACGCAAAAATAACTGGGTCGCTCACCTCTTATGCCTATATGTGTTCAGTAAACACCAATTCTCGTGAGTAAAATTTCTCCAGGCCATTGAAAGGTCCGCTCAGTAAATTGACAATTTCTACTGCGCATGTGTCATT